AAAAAATTCTGGTACCATACTTTGAGAAATATACATGTTTTTCCACAAAGTCTTTTTCAGTTGAAAAGACTAGTACATTTTCAACAAAAATTACATATTGTCAAATGCAAGCAGCCAGGTGGGAACTTACCGAACCTTAAAACTGTAAAATGTTATCTGAAATACTTTTATTGAAGGGTAAGCAAACAAGACGATGAATCTGATATTAAATGCCAGCTTTTGATAATCGACATTTTTCAACAATTGCTGCTACAGGTGCATTTTCATTGGTATCAATAAAGTTTTATGGTCCAATACCCAGCTCATTTTGGGTGTGGTCACTCTAATATCACCTTAAGTTTATTTCCAACGGGATGAAACCCTCTAACACCCACTAACATTTAGCTTCTGTCTTTAATGGGAAAGGTTACGATCAGCATTCATTCCTGGGACAAATGACTCACAGGTATTTATCAGTTCCAGCTCCAATTGGTTGCAGTCGGCAGTAATGGAAACAGGGCAATGGGGTGGACACTCTAATTTCTGCCCCATTTATGGTGCAGTGCCTCCATCCAAGCGTCCTTCACACATCACTCCAAATGAGTTTGAAAGAGAGACTGAATAAGTAATGGATGAGAAGTAACCACTGTAGCATTTCCACTGGCCTCCATGCTGCTTTCTACTGTTTACTAACCCGTTTTCCGGTGTGTCTGTGACAACGTACATAACACATCAGTGGGAAAAGACAAAACAAAAAAGAAAGACAGGCATACTCGTCTACTGCAGTGCTGTGTACATGGCTCTGGTTTACTGGCAATGGGAAAGGCATATACCTGCAGGTGCTGTTTCTTGTGGGAAAGGGGTATCAAAGGAGCAGTGTGTAGGGTTTAGTGGCATCTAGTGGTGAGGTTCAATCAACTGAGTACCTCTCCCCTCACCCCTCTCTTTCCAAGCATGTAGAGAACCTACAGTGGCCTTCAGGTAATGCTGAAAAGCAAAAGACCCTCTCCAGAGCCAGTATTTGTCCGTTCTGGGCTACTGTAGAGCTTCTGCAGAAGAGGACCCGCCCCCTATGCAAATATGAAGGGCTCATTCTAGGCTAATGAAAACACAAGGATTCTTGGCTTCAAGTAATTATACAAAAATTAAAACATATTCATGAATATTATATTCCATATCTGCCATTAGATCCCCCTAAATCCTACACACTGGACCATTACGATGGAATGTGGGAACAGATTAAGTTTGAAGATCTCTTGCGATCGTTACATAATGTTGTATATACAGTAGCATCGCTGACTGGACTTTGCAAATACTTGAGTGTGTCAACTTCACTCAGTTGATGTTGGATTGCAGCCGCAGGAACCAAACAAAAAATCTGACACTGTGATTGACACAAACCTTCACGACAGCATAACAACAGGCCTTTTTTTACCAGAAGACATTTTGACATGTCACAGTGGGAAAATCACAAGCGTAAATCAGACAAATGATGGCTTTCATTTAGCTACTTCAGTTTCAGGGTCCTAGTATTGTGCATGTTGGCCCACTGTCACACAGTCATGACTTACTGAGACTTTAATAGAACAGAGCTATTTTATTAGTAATACCTGTGCCATTCCTGCTACAACAAATCAAAATGTCTGATGTGAAAGACGACTATCTAAAGGCCCTGTATACCCACAAAGGTGTTTTTAAAACCTCTGATGAAAACTCCAGTCAGATATAAAGTTGGGTGGATCATTGCTGCAAATTAAGTAACGTCGCCAAACTCCTTGTAGTAACAAGAATTATAACGAAGCAAGTTGCCCCTACTCCGACAGGTGTAACAAAACTATTAAGGAAGATGTCAGTGAAGAGCAGTTTGCACACACCCATAGATCCTCAAGGGGAAGTCTGATCAGGTAAAATAAGTAAAAACTTGGGATAGATATTGAAAAGATTTTATTAATACAATGCCATTATCTACTCCAATTGTCCAATTCTTTGTTGATGCCCTTACTGATTCCTGATCGATTTTCTGTTTGCAAAAAGAGTAGGCCTGCACAGGTTTTCAGTGTCAACACAACTGTTCTATAATCTCTGAGTCTGCAAACTGTGCTGATGAAATGAGAGAATACAGCAGCATTTTTTTATTTAAGTTTAGTGATTCAAAGAAAAAAACGTCTAACCCTGCGTGCATGGTGCTACTGTTTTTATAACAGGATATATACCCTCGGTAACATAGTGACGTAAGGTAGTTACAACAAGCACCAGTGCAGGCTTTTATGATGGGCCCCCATGCCAAGTTTTGTATCTGAACTAGCTACCATGTATTATCTCGTCTCATCACATGATCAAAAAGAGACTTGACACTGGATGACATCTACATATATATTAGCCCACAATCATGATTTCATACCTGTATATGACACAAATACCAAAGAAAATAATAAAATATTCATTTACTTGAATATAGAATAAGCTTATTATTTTGTTATTGATTGCTACTGACTATTTTACACACACACAAACAGAATGATGATGGAGATGGGGTTTTCCTTTTCAATGATATATAGCAAATGGCAACATTTTTAAATGGTAAATGATGAGTGGACTGCACCTGTATAGTGCTTTTCTAGTCATCCGACCATTCAAAGCACTTTTACAGTACGGGTCACAATCACCCATTCACACACACACATTCACACACTGGTGACCAAGGCTACCGTGCATGGTGCGACCTGCTACTTAGTAACCAATCACATGCAGTCACACACTGACGGAACAGCCATCAGGAGCAATGTGTGGTTCAGTTTCTTGCCCAAGGATGTCGTAGTCAAAAACATGACAATCCTGGACTCTTAGCCTATGTTGAGCAAACAGATGTTTTACTGATTTTTCAACCCTTACTTGACATGCAGTGCCATCTTTCTTCATGAAACAAAGCCATGCTTGAGACTGTTTTCTCTCTACCATAGGATTGCAGCAGTATGCCAGTTTCAAGGTATACTGTGATATAAAAAATGACATTATACCCTGTACATTTGTTTATCTATGATGGAGAATGTCACCTTTATTGAAGTTATTCTCAGTAGGGAGACTTTTTACACATACTTCCATTAAAATAATAGTTTCAAGTTTAAATTATAGGACTAAAACGTTTATCAAACCAAAATATTCCCTCTGTTTTTATTCCTTTAAGGGTCACTCTGTCCGATATAATCAATAATTCTGTAATACCATGAAACTACGATATTTTCTGAGACAGTTATTGTACCTTGAAAATGTCATACCATTGCAATCCAACGCCAGCTCTCTGACTTAAAGTTTCCAGCAGTGTAGACGCATGAGTTTGACCTTATTGTTTTAAAATGCACAACTGAAAAAACATGCCAGCATCAATAAGAGGAATTGATAAGCTCAGAGGAATATGATTGCGATAGACTGGACAATTCGAACTGGCTCTCTCTCTCGATTGCCATCCCTAGTGAAAACACCTGCGTGGTAGCATTAGTCTGTATGGGCTTCGACAAATAGTATACGCTATAAAAGGACAGCCCCATTTCGTTTCCCTCAGCAGTCAAACACATCAAACATCACTTCCTCTAAAGTCGACCTCAGGTCATCTAAAGGACAGCTGGTCTTCGTGTAAGGAGGGCTTATGATGGATTCTAACAGTGACCCTTATTCACAGTGCTTTAATCTGCCACTTTGATCACTTTAGTGTGGGTACTGAGGCATGATATATTGGTGACACAGGGCAAAGGATAGTCACTGTTATCATTAGAAGGTACGAATCTGCTTTGAAGGCAGATAGACAGATATGTACTTGTGTGAAGGTGTGCAGCCAGCTCTTTGTCTGCATGTTTAGTGTGTAGACAGCATTTCTTATAAATATTAAATGGTGGGGTCAAAGAGGATTTCTACATCGCCTTTGCCACTACCTTTCATTTAGGGGTGTAGCAGGTAATTATGGACTCTGCAGTACACAGGAGGGCATTTTGGATTCCCTAACTTTTCTCTCACCCATCTACCCATCCACAACTCAAAAAACTTCACATATTTACCCATCAGTTATCAAACACAAATGATATTATAGGTTTTGTGCACAGTCTGGGCTGTTGTCAGAGCCAAATGTTCACAGGTTGTCCCCTTGTCAAATTCTGTCAAGTGAGGAAATATGGGAGTTTTGTGATGATCTGCAGGGACAAAACTCTAACAAAACTGTATTTCTGCTTGTTCCAGTTTGTCTCAGATTACAGATTTGCTTAATGGATCATATTTTTGAGAAAGCTGTGCAGTTTTTCAGATTTCTGCCAAACCCTACCTTAGAAACTGATCACACTTGGAAATAAGCAGTTTCTGCACTGTAAGATGTCAAAGGGAATTTAGCAAAGACACTGCAGGCCCATATGAAAGCTTACAGCACCCAATCTCAATTATGACCATGTCATTATTTCACTGCAGATAAATGCCAGAGGTCTTACATGTCTGAGCTTAGTGATAATAAATGTAAACACAGGCCACTTTCTGGACTACGGGCATCTCAACATCTCGGAGCTACAGAGACGTGAAGGTAACTCCCGCTTACAGCAAGATCACGTCAGCAAAATCACGTTACATAACAGTTTGTCTCCAACTTTAATCATTTCAAGTCAATCTGTGCGCCTCCGAGGCCGCGCACGGCCGCTTTGCGTACATGACTGAGCAGGCCATACAGGGACCGCACTGGCGGAATGTGCAGGTGTCATCGCTCGCTATTGGATTACTGTGGGAATTCCCTACGTCATTTTCCTTCTAATGCACCCCTTTCACAAGACGCATGCATGAAACCAAAATCGATCAATTATCTCCTTCAGTGCAAAACCACAACAACAAAAGAACACGATACGCAGAAGACGACGCTGCGGTTGTTTAATGACAGATTCGGCTGCTTAAAGCATCATCATCATCATCATCATTATTACCATCACTGCTGGAAGCCATGAACACCTACACGTCCCTCCATTCCTGACGGCGCACTGGGTGGCAGAGCTTACCTTTGGCGCAGAGGTGCGGGATGGAAGAGAACGGTGTACGGATGATGACAGCGCTGCCACCAACACCTGCTCGGTGCTTTCTGCGCGGGGATATCACGGTTTAGGTCGTTATCCCTGCAGTCCAAATGAGGCGGGACGGGCGGGGTGCCGCGGTAGGGCCCCCCCTCCCTCTCAGATCCCGAGCCAGGGCAGCTTTGGGCTCGAAGTCACGTATCGAGACGGTATCCCTCTGAAAAGCTGCTGCGGCGCTGCAGAGACACCTCGGCCCTCTTTGGTAGCAGCGGCCAGAGGTGTGTGCGCATAACTCCACCAGCACCTCCCTGCTCCCTGTCCGCACAGGAGGCTGCTGCTGCTGCTGTGGGCTTCAGGCGTGCAGCTCACACAGGCATCGCATTCTCCCTCTCTGCATTGCAATGCGCTGCAGTCAGAGTCGACGTCCTCCCACCAGTCCCAGCAGATGCACAAAATCTGACTGGGCAGAGCGTGTAACCGCTGTCAGTCCAAAAGGAGGAGAAAAAAACGTAGCCTACCGGAGGATGGCGTAATGTTTGGTTATTTGCAGTGGAGTGGCTCTCCTTGCTGGGGGGCGTGGAGGGATTTATTCAGAGCATTGTCGAGCCTGACATGTTTTTTGCTGTTGATAAAATATATACACACTGCATATTAATGTGGGAAAATGCCAGAGTGGGAGGAGAGACAGAGAGAGAGGGAACACACACACACACACACACACACACACACTCTGAATCACTCAACCTGTAGAACAATTACACTGCACAGATACATCCAATGAGAGCATTTACTCAAGTATTGCTCTTAAGTGCAATTTTGAAGTAGGCTTACCTTATATTATCTACAGTAATCGACTACCACTACATTTCAGTGGTAAAATAGTGTTTTCTGTGCTACAATAATAAAAACCGTGATCACTATGATGCACTGTTAGAGATTTAACACTCAACAGTAAACAGATAAGATAAGCTACACCTTTATTGATCCCACAGTTGAGAAATTCCAGTGTTACAGCAGTCAAGGAGAAAGAGTCAGATTAAAAATTTCAAAATTTAAAAACTTAAAAATTAGGCATGCAAAAAAGTACAAAAATACAAGAAATGGCAATAATAATAATAATGATAATAATAAGGAGCAGTGAATACAAATGAGCAGTGGATTAAGGAGAGCATGTTTAAAAACTCCATGTCAACTAACTGCAGCATTAAAATGTTGCTTCTGCACTGATGCATCAGTTATAATAACAGGATATTATATTGAGACTTGTCACTCCTGCATAGTGAGTACTGACAACACTTGAAGTAACATTTGATTGCAGGACTTTTACCTGAGTATATTTACGTTGTGGTATTGCTTTTATTCCCATGTCTTTTCCACACTGAACATACGCAGGTGAATAAGCATACACGCCTGGAGAGTGGAGACAACACATACATGACATTAATCAGTAATTTTCAATTAATGCCAGATAGTCCTGTGCCAATGAGCCTAAACCAAATTAGGACCTATGGGATTCCGATTTAACACTTTCCATCACAAAGGAGAAGAATAATGGTCCGAGGAAGTGAAAGGAGGCACCTACATTAACACACTACAGCAAACATAAAGAAAGTATACATTCATTCAGCCGTATTGCAACTTCATACTTTCCATTGTCGCAGTCTGTAATCAGGTGTTGGCTGGGACACGGCGCCCCCCTGTGGCCGGTCAGCAGAGGTGCAGCAGTAGGCTACTCCAAAATCCATTAACACAGCAAGAAGCTTACAGTAGGGGTGAAGTCAGTTAATGTGGGGCTCTTTTTGATAGATTACCACCTTTTCCGATGACTACCTCAAGTGTTACTTTTAGATCTTGACATGGATCTTTGCTATATTTAGCCTACTGAAAGAAATATGTTACCAAGTAAAACACTAGAAACGTTGGGCCTCCAAACACATCAAAAATACCAACCTTACTACGATGACATCAGGGGAATAGGACCAAATGTTGGGCCCTATGCACAAGCAGTCTCTGGGGGCCCTCCTTCTCTCTTGATCCACATCGCTCTCATGCATCTTTTGATTTTTTTTATTTTTTTTCCCCCATAAATACTGTAAAACTTCAGTTAAAAGCCTAGTCTCAATTTAACATCCAGTCCCTCTTACTAGCACAGTGTGGCTACACATTTTGACAAATATACACCTGTGTCAGTTAGATGCCTGGTCTGGCAGCCAAGCAGTTCATTTTTACAAAGTTCTTTGGATGTATAAAACAAGTTGTTGGCTACCCACTGGAGCTAGTGTTAGTTAGCTGCTTAGATCACACATACAGATATAAATGTCTAAACTTTTGTCAATATGGAGATGCTACACATTGTTAGCTCTGTGAGATTCTCCTCATTTTAATCTTTCAGGTCATTTTACTGAAACCATGAACACCAGAAAAGACCATTATTCATTCAGAATTATTGGCATAAGGAAAAGAAAATGGGTTCCTCTGAAGCGGTCATAAAGTCAGAATACATGTCCATTCCTTGATTACCCGGTAAGTTATTCATATTCCTTTAGTTCTTAAAAGTACACTGATGAAAATAATGAAAAGGGTTTGTTATATAAACTAATCTAAGTTGTGAATATTGTTTTAACAGAATAAAGTGGTGCTGGGTCAGTATGTTAAGATAAGATACACCTTTATTGATCCCATAATGGAGAAATTCCAGAATTCCATGTTGGGTGCCCTAATCCTAGAGTGCTGTAAAAAGAGTGTCATAATGCTCACTCTCTGATGCCTTGTCTGTCTAGCTAGATGATTGATTTTTTTATTTGATGGCTAATTTTTATACAAGTAATATTCATACTGGTTCAAATAAACAATTCGATAATTTTTTTCATCCTTGCTAAGCAGCAGTTTCGCATAGAAGGAATTCAACCCCTCTCTCATATAGACATCTGTCCCAAATACAAGCATGCTGATTTCAGTGATTTAAGCAAATATTAGCCCGGGCTACTAATTGAAGTTTTATGGTAATTTAAATAATTGAGCCAACAACCATACACACAAATCTGTCACTAATTATTATGGCAGTCATTATGAATGGTTCTCATCACATATAAACAATAAAAGTAAGTGATAGGTGCTTAAAGAACTGTGTCACTGGAAGGATCGTCTTTCAACAAGATTAGGCTGTCTATGCGGTAGAAAGATGCAAATACTTTTGAAATTGGTGCTAAATGATCAGAGAAAACAGAAAGAAGGAGCAATGGCATTCCACTATAGTATAGTGATGTTCCTTCACTATTATTTTTTTGTTCGTTTGTTTTTATCACAAAGCTTAGCCTCCCAAACAATGTATTTATTTAGATGATGGGAATGTGTCCCCCTCAATGTATATGGTGACTACTGCCCTAAACTAAATACTTCGAAATAAGTATTTATCACCTGTCTTTTCATTTAGGCCCTAGGTATTTGGTCCCCCTTTTCTCCCCACTACAATGCCTCTGGATGATGTTTTCAGGTAAAATGGGAGATTTAAAATTGTTTTTATACAGTTGAATCCATTTATCAGTTCAGTCATTAATTTATTAAAACACTGAGTAACCTAACTATTCATTTGAAACTTTTTTTTGACATGCTTTTTCTTTTCCTTGGTGCCAACTGTCGATAAAAGACATGTTTGTGTGTAAAAAAAAAAATCATAGGCAATTCTGGACTTAGTTAACTGACAGGGACTTACTCATCATCTTTATCCTCACACATCATCTTTGATGTTTTGTAAGTGACAAAAATAACCCCCAAAAAGTGTAATATTACAGGGTGGCACAAAGTAGTATCACTTGTGACACCTGGTAGCCTAAAACATGCACGTTTACCTTCAGAAATATGTCCCAATTTACCTGAATGCATTAAGTACTCACTCAAAAACCTTTCTCATTTAAAGTGTATTGTAATTATAAGTCAAACTACTATAAAAAAGCAACATCCATGCCCCATGGCTTTCCTGGCAACCTCTGAGACCAGTGATTTTTTTTTTTTAATATTTGCACTGCCCATCCTAGTTATCTCAGACCAATAAAAATGACTATTTCTTATAAAGCACGTGTCCCATTTTACCTGATGTCTGACGTCCTGACTACAGATGGTGAGGATGAAGAGCAGTGGAGTGCTACATCAAAAGTGGAGGAGACAGTTGAGCAGGTGGCGGTGGTGGAGGGTCCGCAGTTGCGCTAACCTTATCCAGTCTCAATTAAAAAACCTGAGTTCAATAGTTTATTTTCTAACTACTACAACACATCTAACTGGCATTTAGCGACCTGTTACAGCTGCAGTGAGAATGTTTGACCACCAGGGGACAGGAAACTAGCACAACAAAAGTAGCAACGAAGCCAACTAGCTTATCAAACAGCTAAGTTGCAGTATGTAAGGTTTTAGAAGATGACTGCGACATTATTTCTGCCCGGTCAACTGTTGAACATATACGCCAAGTATTCACTTACCTTTTAGGCCAGGTTTGGTGTAACAAAAGACGCCTATAGCCTACTAAATGTAAGACTTTCTTCATTATTTTGCAGTTTTAGCACTTTGCTTCTCAGTGCAGGACAGACCGGTACAGTCAGCTTGAGCTCCTCTTCTGTAAGCAGCTGCCTGTTGTCAGTGATGGGAGTAGTAGCATAGTACAGTAGTAGCAATCTCTTTCAATTATTTGATTCCATATTAATATTTAATGCACCTTTAAAGTCTAAATGAAATAACAAAACATACCTCATAAATAAATTCATATATACAGAACAAACTGCCTGTAGAGTGGAAGCCTTATTACATTCCCTGTGGTTTAAAGACTGCATGACTGTATTTCCCTCCACACACTTGCCTTCAGTAAGGGACTGGGGTGTGACTTCTTTCTTTCTTTCTCCCCCAAATCATAATTAACAGTTCCAGTTCAAATTACAGCTCAAAAGTATTTGCCATTTTTGTCCATTATTGTCCATTTCCCAAGAGAATGTAAGAAAACTAAAGGCCTTTGTTAGTCACGTTGGCCAGGTGGTCTCAACTCGGTGTTTCCTCTATTTTATTGTCTCAGGGGATGTACTCTGTGCAATAAAATTGAATCTAATATAAAACGGTGGCACATTTCCACAGGTGTTTCCACTTGCTACACCTAATAGGACCAAGTTTGTGGGTGCCTACAGTGTGCAACACATCTTCCTCACTTTCTTGTTGCACCTTTAAAGGTAGGACTACTTACACCTTATTGGCATTGGTACATGTAGTTAAATGACCTTGTGTGATTCCCAGTGCAGCCCCACCTATCTTCAACTTGAATAGAGGTCTCCGAGGTGGGACCAAGTCATTGCCTTGCAAGTCAAGAGAAGGTGTCAGCTCAAGTCATACACAAGTCCCAAGTCAAGACTCACAAGTCCCAAGTCAAGTCAATCAATCAGTTTTATTTATAAAGCCTAATATCACAAATAACAATTTGCCTCAGATGGCTTTACAGCATACGACATCCCTCTGTCCTTTAGACCCTCACAGTGGATAAGGAAAAACTCCCACCAAAAAAAACCTTTAATGGGGAAAAAGCCATGTTACTCTGTAGTGACTGATAGGATATCCGTTTTCCTCTGTATGACTTAAAGCTGGGCTAGGCAGTCTAACTTTGGCGTCATTGTGCAAAAATCCTAATGAATTTGGTCCTAGGTCTTAAATCTTGAGTTTGAGTCCTGAACAAGTCATACTGCACTCTTTACCAAATGTAATGCCATTTTAACAGAAGAGAAAAGATATATTAAATTCATGAAAATCATGAATGCTTTTAAAATTTGTGCTTTTTGGTTATAAAAAAGTTTGTTGGCCACTGTGTAGTTTTTGTACGGTAACAAATAATCTGTTATCTTTTTTTCCAATTGATGGTCAGAAACGTAACGTTAGTTCTTCATGGTTCTCTCCTGCAATTTATCTGAATGCTGTTCACTTAATTCAAACAAAGTGAATCTGGGGAATTAAGTGTCAACTTGCTGCTAATGAATAGTGTTAATGTTGTTTGACTCAGGAAATGAATTGATTCTTGCCACACTTTTTAAATGACATACGTTTTAATCTTTGGGCTTGGGAGAAGGTATCTGGTGTTTTCAGGCTCAAATCCAAGTCGAGTAAAGTCAAGTCTTCAGAAATCAAATTTGTGACTCAAGTCAACATGTCTGGGTCTAACAAGCCAGAGTAAGAGCAAACATCTGTGTGGGTGTTGCAGGCTTTTAAAGCATACTTCTTTATACCCATAACATTTCTAAAGTAATAATAAAAAAACAACTATATTTATTTTTCTTGGTTTTATTCCAACAACAATAGTGCCAAAAATTGCACAGTTTGCCCATTTACAATGACATCAGATAAAAATGTGAGAAATATAAAAACATCAAAGCAATCAGTTTTGACACAATAATGCTTAAACCTGAGGAGAAAATACTCTTCCACACCGGAGCCTCACCAGAAAACAATAAACTAAAGAAACTTTCCCTCAGATATGGTACATTTACACTTCTTTCACCTGACTGCCCGTTACAGGATATTAGCGAAGGTCAGAGGACTAACTAGTTCTGCACAACAAGGACCAGCTAGCGGGAGGTTACAGGTTTTAAAGTCACTCTAGGCAGAAGCAGAAGAAAGGAAACTGATAGGGTTACCAGACTGTAAAGCACTTATAAATAGTAGTAACATTTAATATGATTTTTACTTCTATATTAACAGATAAACAGTGGAAATGGCCATGTTTAAGACATTTATCATTACTTGGCCAGTAAAATGATAGTGAATACAAACAACCAATGTAAGATCATTTTCACAGCCATCTCTAAAATAATAAAAAACACTACTAACACTCAGGTTGTGATAACTTTTCAACAATGGCCAGCTTTGACACTGAATTTCATAGTCTCATAGAGTTCAATGTTGGTTGTCATAAGTCATGTCATACTGCGGTGTTGTACTCCAGTTTAATTAATGCAAGAGCTATGTGCTTGAAACATCACAGGATCTACAATGGAATAAACTTCCCCAATGCGCAAAAAAAAATTCTGTTGAAAACTTGATTCTAAAAAGGAATTTGTTTTGACTGACTTATTTTCAGTAAATTGAACTGAGAGCCCATTCTGTGTTTTCAGCTTAAATTCAGGCACCTGCACAGCATTTGCCAAATGGATGTTTACAGCCATCAATCCCAGTGAGTGGAGCAGATGATTTTTAGTAAGTGTGCTTTGATTTAAATGCTAAAATGCTCAGAAACAAGAAAAGTAAGCTCTCAAAAAGAAGGGAGAAATCTCTGTCTGTGTTGACGTCTGTCTGTAGGATATATGATGGTATTTGATCGTACTATATGCTGTAGGAGTGAATGTGCATTTGACAAGATAACAAAATAATAAGCTACCAAAATAGCCTGAGGTATCACCCACTGCACAATCAAGACAGAAAAGTTACTGGACAATAGTCTACTCTTTACTCCATTTTTACAAATCCAGAAGCATTTTAATAGGGAGAAAATAACTAACAATAACCTGGAGAAACCCTTGTCTGAATTCAAACTATGTTGCCAAATGTAGCACAAATAAATAGATGACATATGGACACATTTTTCACTGCTGCACAACAAGAAAGCAACAGGACCACAGTTTGCTTTACCAGTTTTAAAATGGCAGCATTTAAGACTGAGTGTTTATAAAATGTGAAATTGGATACCCCATATTATTTTAGTCCCACTTTAAACGTTTTTCAACCTAATGCTAGATGTATTCAAGGAGCTGGAATGTGAGATATTCCTTTTCAGAGGAGAGACAAAAACCCCAAATGTTACCTCATTTTAAATGCCTGATATTCCAAACCATTATCATGTCTGAGGAAATGTCACATCTTTTTTTCCAAGTGATGATTTTCCAGTTTAGAAAGATAACACTCTTGAGTAAATCTGAAACTACGACATGATCACAGTGAACACCGATATAAATCACATTTATATTTATATAAAACACAGCTCTCATCTCTACTAACCTGTTCTACAAAGTAGCGTATGCCACCAATTCACAACGAGGCAGATGATGTGCATCTCAAAGCACTAAAACTGCACCAGACAGACAAGTGCACAGAAAAGCTGATCACTTACACCAGTGGTTACTGTATAAATTGAAACAGACGTACAGACATTTGGTGCAGGTACATTCACATTGGGAACAACAGTGGTGTCTTTGCAGAGCATGCTGACGTAAGATTGTATGCTTGCTTGAAGGGCAAGCGTCATTGGTCCCTAATGAACTGATCTTTAGTATCTTGTCTTTATAAAGTCACGCAAATCTAAAATCATTAGTACCTTGTTGAGGAAATGTTTAAGTGAGTTAACACATTCACGCAGAGCCATTGAAGTACACTTACATTCACTGTTGGCCTTCATCGTTTAGCCACGACACTGCTGCTGAGGACTGAATGGTTTTCAACTGATAGGCAGTTATGAAACAGACGCACTGCTGCATACACGAGAAAGCAGAAAGGCACGACAGCTGCTTCACTGACATGAGGGGGTGTGAGCAACAGCAGGAGGATGTAAGACGAAGCAATAAGACACAATTTTCAACACAGAGAGGCATCAAGTACAAAAAAGGTTAACTCAAACTACAGCACAGCTGTGGTAGATCAATACTGATCACGTCATGTTACTCACACACTAAATCACAAGTCATGAGTTATGTTTCATACATTTTTAAGTTGATTTTTTTCTGAATCTCATTTAATCATAAAACTCAATTATGAAACTCTAACAGCTAAAGGCTGTGAGAGTGAGTGCAACAGTTAACCGGCTTTAAAAAGTGACTGGCTACCAAAACTAAAGTAAAAAAAAAACAACAACAACAAAATGTTTGGCCTATATGGCAAAACAATACACCACATTCATAACACGCACCAGCAGCACACAGGAAACAGTTCAACAACAATCATAATGATGGTGTGAAGCAACTGTGGAAACAGAAATCCTGAAGTCTGGTGATATTCTATACTTCTCTTTCGGTCAACAAATACCATTGCACAACCAAAGCCAACAACAAATTGATCCTATTAATAAGTATTTTGTGTGTATCTAAAGCTTAATATATCTTCTTTCTCTGTGCCACAGAGCTCCATTGTTGTCCAGAAACTATCAAAAACACATCAGTGAGTCACACTGCTGCACTGAGTGGCATGTTTCCTCACACACACTATTGCTAATTGTGACTCAATCCCACACACAATACTTCTGCTGTAAATACTCACTAGAGCAGTAGTTCCAAACCCCAAGGGGTCATTGAGAGAGTTTCAGAGGGTCCACAGAAAAATGGGGAATAATTTATATTCACTATTTAATTCACTATGAAAGTCAGCTCGATGTGGGTCACCCTGTATTCATGTGTTGTCAGAATAATGTGAAAAATTAGTGCACGACTGGGAAAATTCATGCAAACACCCTCTCAAGTTGGAACAACAACTCTGAAAGTTGGCAAAAAAATTTAGAGTTGTTATATGCAAGAAAACAGGGGATGAAAGTAAATGTTCAGTTGATGGTAATGAACTTTTTATGAATTTATATATTGCATGTCAATTTATTGCTCATGTGTAATTAGTTGCTGTTTATGTAGAGTGACCTAGATTAGTTGGAAAAGTTATTTATTAGCATTAGTCAGTTAAGGCAATATATTAGTGGTTTTAGGGGATGTACTGGTGCAGCAGTAAATCTGAGCCAAATTCACTTTGTAATGTAAAGGTTCAAACTATAATCAATGTGCTGTTTAAATGCTCTAAGCAATGAAATGCATCGCATCCTGTATGTAGCGCCCATGTTGTTTCTACATTACGATTTAAAGCTCATGAACACACCACAATCGGAAAAACCACTTTCAAACTGGGAAATTGGGACTAACCGAGAAGCACGTGGATACGACATCATAAGAGAGTCATAAGAGTGACTATTTTGGTCAGAGGTTTTGCTTCCTCCACCATTCTCTCCTCAACTGTTGAAGACAACTATAAAAATTTGGTGTTAATCATATCTAACAAACCAAAATATTTTCAGATGGAGGTCCCCAAAGCAAAATCTAATCACATGGGGTCTGTGACCTAAGGCTGAAAACCACCGCACTAGATCACCAAATGTGATTAATCCACAGCTGTAAATAGTCCCACGCAAATAAACTATTTCTGTCTCTTTGAGTTGTGTTCAGTAAAAACTACAATGCCCAGCTGTTTTAGGAAATTACTGAACCTTTAAACAAAAAATGTAACCACTATGTTTGTGAGCAGTTTTTTAAGATTTACATCATCAGTAGGAAACACTGTGGACTAAGACAAAATAACGCATTAATGGCTTTTGTTGACAGTAAGAAAAATATAGAACTACTCCAGCCTCCTCTTCTAAATTCCTATTAAAAAGGTTTCAGATAATAGGGTCTTTACAACAAAACGAAAAAATAAAGTAAGACAAAAGATGGTGTTTCCTTGGTCAGAAGTATTCACCTGTATACCTACCATGAGGATAGTTATGCCTGTCTTAATAAACACGAAGCATGAAATACAAGACACCTTTCTTATTATCCACGATACAGCAGCAAAGCAATGCCAATTCCAAACACAATACATGGTTTAAACACTTCCTGTTAAAAGCCTGAAGTTGCTGTTCAAAGCTCCAATCATACAGTATATGTGTATCAGCTGCAATACTGAACAGACATCCCATAATCCGCCACAGGACATCAATCCGCGGCTTGGAGAAAGTAAATAATCTGCTTTTTAAGCTTTGCCAATTTGAAATTTTACCAAGAACAACGTACAACGTACAGCCCCCAACCTACCAACAACGACCACATTATAATTACAGTCATTAGGAACCTCTGGCTGAGCTAACAAACCATTGAAGCCATGATGAAGCATAAAGATGATTTCCACAACAGAGGAAGGTGTCCTGTTCACATATGACTCAACCAATCAAAGCTATTTAGATCATAGGTTATGAGCTACAGCTGATGCCAGCTGCTTGTTGTTGTGTGACAGGTTACTGCTCTTGCTGGCAGTTGACTGACTGAGCTGCCCGGCCACCTTCTGTAGCTAACTTGTTTTTGAGAGGCACCGTGGCTTTGAATGTTTCTGTGGCTCTGCCCCATTCAGAGGTGCCATTTTTTATTTGGCACGTCAACAGCTGGCAGGGAGATCACTGATTTATAGGAGAACAACCCCATACAGCACTGTTATGGGTCACTTTTATTTTGGTACTGAACCATTGCTGCACCGCCACACAGCACCACTGGGGACAGTTTGTAGCTGCACTCACACGGTCAGATCAGCATAATGTACATTTCAATTGCATTTATTCCATCAGTGCTACCACACTGCTTTTTTAAAATCATTCGCAAATAAATTTGCCTTTGCTTTGCTGTTTTCTTTATCTAGTTAAGCTACAGTCAGTGAAACTAAAGACTTCCTGCACTGATATTTCACATAAAAAGCCTACTAAGAAAAGCGAGGAAGAATTATGGAATATGATCCACTGGGAAGCTTTTAATTGAAACATCTGTGCAGGAAGTTTTTTCTTTCATTGACATTTCATTTTACACAACAAAAGCAAAGTAGGGGGTGAGTGAGAATAGTGTTTTTGTTAAAGAGGAATTGTGTAACTGTACCAATGGAAGCAGTGCTGTGATAATAAACATTATCCTGAATTTATAAAGAGAATGACTGAACATGGAGTGCTGGGTTGGACTAGTTTCATTAAGTGGAGAGAAAAGGTTTTTGCACATGCACAACACCCACATATTGACTTTAGATTATTTTGAAAGTCCAAGTAGCCTTTCTCTTTGAGTTCTTGACACACTTCTTTCAAGTAGGAAAATAAATCACTTTTATTTCTGTCCAGAAGACTATTAGGTGCTTATTTTAGGATAAGCTGCTAGCCTGCTCCTTATTTAACAGTCAGTGTTGCCTAAGTAAGGGAATTAAAGAGTGAATGACATGAAGGTGAACTGCCACGCAGAAAGAAGACAAAACAAGTCACAGAATTTATATGCCAACCCAGAACAAATATAGCTCACAGACTGGCCACATCTATAAAAACTGTTGGGCTACACCACTGTATTTTACAGAAGATGGAGTCAATCATAATTTTCTTCTTCAGAAAAATGACAGACTGATTAGAACCTGCACATGCACTGAAGCCTTTTCCAGTGCAAACCTTCATTTTGCTGCTATCTGTATCAAAAGGTGTATATGGGAGAATGTAAACATGATTACTTTGGATTTTTCTTATGGAAAAACCTGTGGTGGTGCTACGACAGTCAATAGGTTAAGATAACACACAGCTATAAGTCATTGCTAAGCAGTAGGCAGTGAAGTAGTTTACAGCGTAGTGACTGCAGTGAACAATGCCACTGTAGACACCAGAAATGACACATTTTAACAGTAACACCCTGTTGAGAATCTCTAGTATCAGTAGCTTCACTGGTTGTGGAGTTGTTGCTCCTTGAAGGCAGAGCTATAGATATACAGAGTAAGGCAAACTTGGTTTCAGGTCAATCCTTTGGAGCCATATTCGCACTAAATGTTCCAAGGCCATTACAGCCTCTCATTTTAAAACATAGTGTAATTGCCATGGAGCTTTTAGTGCTAACATTGAGCAGACAGTTCCCCCAAGCTATGTATGTCTATGGCTCTGCTCCACGGCAGCCAGATAGAGCACGTCTTCCTGGACCAAATCAGTCTCAAGCAGCTTCAGCAAGTCAGGCTTAGGGAAAGGCTTGTTATGGTAGAGATGTGGACAAAAACCATACAGATACCGTCAGAGCAGACAGCACAAGGCCAGAGGGACAAGTGCTGCCAACAGGAGATAGGTGACTCTGTAGAGGTGGAGTGGAGAGAAGGTCACCATGGCGATGGACAAGGGGAGAGGAAGGCAGGATGCCAGAGGCAGAAATTTACTGAAAGAGACGAAGAACAAGGTGGATATAGCAGCAGAAATCCCTTTGGCTCCGACAGGATAATAAATCTAATGTGTGGGAATGTGTGTGTTGGTGACGATGTGCTCTTACCTGTTGCTGAGTTTTAAAGTGTTGCAGTTAATAAGCAGCATGTACACAGTAATAAGAGGCACAATGAGTGGCCAACAAGGGTCTGGGTCCAACTGGGTGGAATACCTGCAGAGGATCACAACATACACCCATTCACCATGTACACCTCCTCAACATTGTGTCAAACTTCAGTTATTACTTTACGGATCTGGACGTATATTTGCCACATTGTGATTCAAATATACTGGAAAAATAATCCTACTAGTATAATGATTTCAGCCACCTCATCCAGCTATTGTGTGGAAATGACCATGACATAAAGTTAAAATGCTGGCAAAGTTCAGTTTTCAGCCGTTACACAAATAAATCAGAGGTCAAATTTTGACCCACACCAGCACCCCAAGAGCTGTTAAAGATTCAACAGCTATATTCATAAAATCTTTAAGGCTGCATGAAGGAAGTAGCTTGCATAAAATGTGCCAATTCATACCTGGAAATGTGGGGGTATGTCAGATGAATTTAATACATTTTGTTTCACACACACACACACACACACACACACACATACTATTATAAGAGTTCATTAAGACATTACATTCACAGCAAATCATTTTCAAATACAAATTTATATTAAACATAAATAAGTTATGTGATCAATGTCTCTCTTTTCAGTGAAAGGTTACTCATCACACTCATTTTAGGAGTAACTGTATGAAATCCTAGATCTTAAGTTTCATTTTCAGTTTTCTGCAAAGGTATTACATCAGTGCACCGCTGAAGAGGGAGGAAAAAGTATAATATATATAAGTCATGAATACCATTTCAAAGTTAAGTTGACTCTCCTATCAATGTTAGTCAAACTCATGTCTGACCCAAGTCAATTCATGTGACTCAAGCCCCCCACCTCTGGTAATTAGTTTACTCTCTAATAAACCCAGCCTTAGATGTGACGCTCAAAAACAGCTCAGCCGTGCAGGTGCTTTGTCTCTCAAAGCTCTCTCAGATACTCCTTCCATTTTCCTACTGTACCTCAGGTTGCGGATCCAGTGGATGAGAGAGGGTGCGATGAGCATGAGGGGTAGAGTGAAGAGTGCTGATAGGCAGAGGTGGAGCTGTAAGTCATCTCTCACCTCCTGCAGAACACACTCAGACAGCAGGGTGGCACTATTGCATTCTTTAGACTTGCTCAAGGATTCAGCTTCGACTGTGCCGTTCTCAGCTTCTTTGTGCTGCCGGGGTGCCTGAAAAGATGAAAGTGGAAAACTTAAATTATTTCAAAGTGTAATTTGACAAGAATCAATTAATACTGTAATAGATTATGAACCCTTGCTCTGCATTTACATCACTAGCAAACCACAGTAACATCAAACTGGTGCCGGTGGTGTGAATGGAGCAAAGTCTTACCAGATTCAACATGTGACTCAAAGATCTTTCTGTCATCTGTAGCCTCAGTACCTGAACATGCAAAGGCAAACAAGACAGACTTAGTAAGTAGTTCGTAGCAGTTAGCAGCTAACTCAAAGAAGAAGAACAGAGGCTGAATATGTCTGCAAATTAGGAAAACTATGAGGACCAGGTGCTCCTCACCCTCAGAGGAGAGGACAATATCAGCCCTCATATAACAGGGACAGTAAATAAACGTTATTGCCATGTTAATGCCATTGTTATTGTTTATAAAGCTCTGTCGACGCCATAGGTCGACGCTTATGTTTTATGTCACACTAAAGGCTGATGCTGTGAGCTGCTGAGAAGCAAAGAGGTTTTTCATCTTGGGTCAGACTACTGAGCCCCATGTTATTATTTTAATACCTTCAGAAGGATAGGCACAACTCACAACACTTGGCTACATCTCTCTCCCCAGTAGCGGAAACTGGGACAACCAACGTAACTGTGGAAAACACAATGTAGTGTATCCTGTGTTGTTGGTAGTTGCTAGGCTCTAAGGAAAACCGAAAACGACCTGATTGTCTTTGCGACAGCAGTGCCAACACTTACACCACTTGGATACACTGGGAAAGGAAAGCTAAAAAGTTGTCTGTTTCCACTTTAAACTGGTTTAATTATTGATGCTAATGATGCGACTCACCCTGTAAAAGTGGAGCAGAAAGGCAGCAGATATTGACAACGCCCCGCAGGACATCCCACCCATAACAGTCAGACACACACTGATGAGAAGCTGAGTCCGCAGTCGCAGGGTACCACAGTCTCTGGAGACCGATGGTCTGCAAATAAACGTTATTACAGTTAAAAAATGTTGTATGAGACATTTAAGCTCCAAGTATCTTTTAGAATACATTTTAAGGCTCTTTAACATGTTTTTAAATCACTTAATGGTTTGGGATAAGCCAACATTGCAGAATCTCGATCATTTTAGAATTCTTCATGAGTTCTCAGATCTTAGACTGCTGGGTTTTTAACTTAACACAATCATACACTCAAGAAAATGGGCAGCACAACTTTTGTTAACTATGCTCCAAAATTATAGAATACCCTTCCAAAAGCTGTAAAAGATGCGGGCTTGTGAACATTTTAAAATGACAGCTGAAAACCTATTCATTTAGTCTGGCTTTTAGTCATTCATTCATTATCTTTAACCTCTTATCCTGTAACAGGGTTGTGGGGGGGGGGGGGGGGGGGGGGGGGGGGGGGGGGGGGGGGGGGGGGGCAAGAGGCGGGTTACACCATGGACAGGTCGCCAGACAATCACAGGGCAGACAACATACACTCACATTTACACCTCCAGGCAATTTACACTCCCAAAATTACTTTTTACCTTCACTTTTACATTTCGTTTATCATCAACTGTCTTTTTATTGTCTAATCTTGTTGTTCTTTTTGCTTCTGTGTTGCATCTTTATTTCAAAGCACGTTGAGCAGCATCCCTTATAAGAAAAGTGCTCTATAAATAAATTTTATCATTATTATTATTATTAGTAGTAGTAGTATTATATTCTGCATGCCCAAAGACCATTCAGTTACAGTTTAAAATCACATACTCTGATGTTTAGATGACCAATCATACCTGTGTAGAGGAGCTAATATTAGTGAGATCACTCTCATTAGGAGGCGGAGCAGTGTGCTGCCCCAGTAAGCCACAGCTGCCCCGAAGATGTAGTGTAGAGGGGACAGGAGGTGGGGCCATTCTTCAGCAGGTACCACACCCTCATCAGGGATAGTTGGGGGGAGGGTATCCATAGGGGGGAGGTAAAGAATTGACCAGACCTCCTGAAAGCAGCTACAGCTGAGGAGAGGGAGGAAAAGGAACATAAACAAGAAAAAAATATGCAGGATTTGAGAATATCCACATATTTTTAATACAATATTCAAAAACAACATTCCTATAGTGTGAGATGTAATTAAAGCGGCTAGTAAGTACATGACACTACTTACCTAAGTAAGATGTGCAGAATATAAACAGGCAGATTGACTTTATGAGGCTGCAGGCCTCTGCCCACAACCTGGCTCATGTCTGTGGCTCGCCCAGATGCCAGGATGGAGGACAGCTGCCCCCCACAGGCCAGGAGGAGGGTTACAGCTGTGTACACTGGCACCATGGCGCCACAGAACCTCAAAATCTGTCAGATAAGAAAGAGAAGATCAGACCTATAAGCTTTCTCCTCTTTGCTCATGAAAAACAATAAACAAACGTAAGACTGTTCTTATTCAAACAAAACAAACAAACGGTCAAGAAAAAGACAAAAAAACAAGACAAGAGAGTTGTACCTGTCCCAGCACCTTGGGTAATGAAGTCCTTAATGACACCTGAGGATAAAATCATACGTTTAACACATCATTTATTTCATGTAATGTTTTAAACTGATAATGATAAAAAAAACACATTTGATAAAATGAACTGTCATCAGAATGTGCAGGAGGGTGAAGGCTGTAGTTCTTTCCAGCACTTGAGTAGTACCTTATATTGGCAGTTGGGGGCAGTGTGGAGCTGAAGGAGGACACCTGAGGTGTTGTCTGGGCGACTTGTGTGAAGCATCCCTGAGATCTCAGTCACTGATGGCACACTGGCAGACACATAAAGTCATGACAGAACCAGTGAGTATGACACATAGATCTGTCAGAACCAGAAGGATCAGCTTAGACACAGTTAGACATGACTGACCTGACTGTGGTTAAAGAATCCTCTCGAAACCACGGTACATTTAGTCTGTACACATTGGGCAGCCTATCTGCAGACAGACATACAAGGATTATTATTACATTTCAACATGTGTGCCTGCCTACTGATCAAGACAAACTTACCTTTATGTACTTTGCACTGGCTTGCAACAGTGATTCTGAAAGCCTGATAGACCTAAAGACACAGAGGTGTTCAAGATGTAGTAACACAGCAAGAGCAGAGATACTGAATCCAGCAAGCACTTCATGAAATAATGAAAGCTACCTGGTGGAAGTGTTGCAGCCTGATGGTGTGAAGAAGTCCAGAGGAGTTGACTGAAACATCGCTGACGGACAAACCTGGAAAACCAACAGTTACTGAACAGGACTGTGTCTTTCTCTCTTAAGTTTTAAAGAATCAGCATTCACAGTAAGACTACTCACCGAAGGACAGAACATGTGGTGCTGGGAGAGACACAGTCTGAGATTCTTGTCTCTGCCACTCGCACTCCACCGTGAACTGCGGACCAGATACACTTTATAATGATTTTTGTATAAATAAACATTACTTTACTTTATTCTCCTGACTGCTTTTGCTGCTTTGTCTCAGGCTTTTATATTCCACAAAATCTCTTTTTAAATTTGTTTCAACCCTGATTCTAATTCTGATTCCACTGGTTGCTTTTGTTTTGTTCGGACATTCATGGTTTCCAGATGATGTATCCTACTGACTTTGGTTTTCCTCTGACTTTTCCTCTGGCGCATCATTGGGTCAAAACAGGCAATTATATTACTTAATGACCAAATACGTTGAAAACTAATAAAATTCCATCATCCCATCATCCTCAGCTGTAATGCTAATTAAAAGATGCTAGCGTGTCAACACCCTTGAAGTCCCCCTCCTGACACGTTTTAAAATGTGAAGAAATACTCTGCTATGTTAAATGTTTTATGCAATGTGTCTTTTCATGAAAAAAGGAGAAAAAAAACTGAAAAGGGGCTGGAAGCAGATCAATTCTTTCTCCCTTATGAGGAAATTCTGGATCTGGCCTCCACCCTGCCCAACACTGCTGCTTGCACCAAGTTTCACCTTTCCTTTCCGCGTTTTCTCCAGAGCTGCTCACACTAAGATGACTGCTTAAAAAGCAGTGTACATCAATATGGCTAACATTAGCGTTAAAGAAAACATTGGAGACATGTAGCCATACATGTTTGAGCCTCAATAAAATGAGAAGTCTGTTGTGCACCAAAATCAGCAACTAGCAGATGCATCATCATGCTGAGTGTTGTTAGCATCTTTTATTAGTTTATGTTGTTTATTAGCTTGTTAGCCTGTAACTGGAAGTAGCTAGCACAGTGTTAGTGGTTGTGAGACATACAATATCTGTTATCAGTGTTTCCCCTACCATTATATTAGGGGGGCATTTCAGCAAGACAGACAGAGACAGAACAGAGAGAGAAGCATTTTATCATCAGAGAATCTTGAGTTATAATTTTTAAGTACCTGTTTGCCATTGAGGTTGGAGGCAGAAACAACCAGATGAGTAACTGATGACAAGTCACTGAGACTGAGAATTAGAACCTGAGGAATAACAGACAGCAGTGAGCAACCAACAGCAGCTCAGATGGGACTAGATGGTGTCTCTTCAGAGAATTACCTTGTAGGGTGGCAGAAGCTCAGTTCCCATGGACAGATCCACTGCATGCACACTGAAAATTTTAAAGAGCAATTATGAATATAAATAAACATATATCTACTGTAATATAACCACCACCACTTATAGTGATAACACACTGAAGAAAAATCAGGACAGTAAAAAAATTCAGATGTTGATTGAGGATATAGGTGATGGAGAAAGACGAACATCATTATCATATTCTTACCATGAAGAACTGTTCTTGTGCACGCAGCCATACACCCAGCTAGTCATCTCCTGTTGAACAAAATCAACAAAACAGAATCTGAATTGAACTTTGAACTTTGATTACTCTGCTTTCTGCTTTACTAAATATGTGGCTTTTCACTGAAATCTTAAACAGCAAAATGGTAGCCTGATAATCACACTGAACTGCTGCTTCATTTTACTTCATCTACAGTCAGGTCCATAATTATTTGGACAATGATACAGTTGTCATCATTTTGGCTCTGTACACCACCACAATGGGTTTTAAATGAAACAATGAATACCTGCTTAAAGTGCAGACTCTCAGCTTTCATTTAAGGCTTTTTTCAAAAATGTAGTATGAACCGTGTAGGAATGACAACCATTTCTTCACACAGTCCCCCGACTTTAAGGGCTCATAAGTATTTGGACAAACTAACATAATCATCAATTAAACAGTCAGTTTTAATACTTGGTTGCAAATCCTTTGCAGTCAATGACTGCCTCAAGTGTTGGACACATAGGCATCATCAGATGCTGGGTTTCTTCCCTGGTGATGCTCTGCCAGCCCTTTACTGCAGCCGTCTGCACTTCCTGCTTGTGTTTTGGGTGTTTTGCCCTCAGTTTTGGCTTCAGCAAGAGAAACGCATGCTCAATTGGATTCAGGTCAGATGATATGACTTGGCCATTGCAGAACATTCCACTTCTTTGCCTTAAAAATGTCTTTGGTTGCTTTTGCAGTATGCTTCAGGTCATTGTCCAACTGCACTGTGAAGCATCGTCCAATGAGTTTTGAAGCATTTGGTTGAATCTGAGCAGATAATGGTGCCCCAAACACTTCAGTTTTCATCCTGCTTCATACTACATTTTTGAAAAAAGCCTTAAATGAAAGCTGAGAGTCTGCACTTTAAGCAGGTATTCATTGTTTCATTTAAAACCCATTGTGGTGGTATACAGAGCCAAAATGACGACAACTGTATCATTGTCCAAATAATTATGGACCTGACTGTATATGAATCACTGAACAAATCAAAGATGTGGGTGGTGATTTATAAGTCTGACACCTGGCTAACAACATGAAGCATTGCAAAGGTTGTAGCTCAAACCCAAGGGGGATGATAACATTAATACATTGCTGAAAACTCACCAGGTTGTTGCTCCTGCAGTAGAAATGGCTGTAGGCTTTCCTGCGACTCGACAGGGCAAACATAAAGTATTTAACCTGTCCTTCCTGTAGACAGAGAGCAACACTGAAGACAAAAAGTTTTTTCTCTCTGTATCAGGACTTTATTTTCTCAGATTAATATAAATAACCCATTTATTATATTGATACAAAGTCAGGTACCTTTGGTGTGCTGTAAGCTAGACGCAGTGTGTTAACTTCACTCCATGCTTCAGGAAAATCTGGAAAGAAAAATGGAAGAAACAGGACACAGATATGAGTGATTCTTCAATAGTGTCACTTTATCAAAACTTGAGTCTTTCACTTCACTTCATAGAGTTAATGAAAACTCCAAAAAACTATTAAAAATTTAAAAAAATTAAAACTATTTGGCAAAAATACAAAAGGATAAGTCTCTAAATGTACATGGACAGGAATGTGCTCAGAATAGGAGACAAATGAATAATGTCTCCATTTATTAAAGCCTCTCCGTGGTTAAGTGTTTCTCTCTAACCTGAGATGGAGATTGAGGTGTCTTGAGTCTCTCCCACCATCCTGACAGGATGTCTGATGAAGTGATGGTTAAGTACAGCCATTTTCTTCTCTGGGTTTACTGTGAACTAATAAGAGCACAATGGTTAGTTTGCAAACGGATGACATGGCATTAGGGCTAATGTTGACTTTTTTTAATCCATTCTATTTAAACCTGGTATTTCTGCACAGTTGCAGATTAGGCTACACTCATATTATTAGTGTTATACTTTTTGTATATATTATATTTATATATTTGTTTGAGGATATTTTAGCTACAATACCAATGTTTGCTAGAATGTGAAAGAGATTCTCACAGAACTAATACTGTAAATTTTACAAGGAATATTTTTTAAAGAAGAAGAAATTCAGAGCAGGATTAAAATAGAATATTTTATAACTAAATGTTGTTTCTAGAGCACCAACAGTATTATTCCTGACATCACAATACTGAGTGAAAGAATAAAGAACACATAGATCAGTCAGTATCAGTCCTCCTGTCCTCTCTGCTCCTCCCTCTGCTGCAGAGGAGATTCACTGCCTGCAGGTAGCATTACCGTTGGTAAGTTTTGAGATGCGTGGCAAACTAAGCTAAAACTGCTATTAGCTGGAATGCTCTCTGTGCTCCTTTAAAACATATGTTAGCGACAGCGGATGAGAGACTGCAGACAAAGCAGATTGAAATATCACTTTTCTACATGTTTACAAGTTGCTAAACATGAAGATCAATTTCGACTGGATGAATCCATTATTTTAACCCAGCCTTGGTGTGATCCAAACATTTCCAATAATTCTAGAGGGTTGTTAAGTCAGAATCTATCAAAACTAGAGTTTAAGTGTTTTTGCAGAAAATTATTATGTCACAGTGATGCTAACCTTTGACCTTTTGGATATAAAATGTTATCACTTCATCATTTTGTCCCATTAGACATTTGTGTTAAATTTTGTCATGATTAGCGCATGAATTCTTGAGTTATGGCTGAGAATATGTTTTGTGAGGTCACAGTGACCTTTGACCACCAAATTCTAATCAGTTCATTCTGGAGTCCAAGTGGATGTTTGAGGCAAATTTGTGGAAATATCCTCTAAGCCTTCATGGGCTTTGTTTTTTTTTCAGAGGGCACACTATTTCGTCTATTACGTCTTTCATCTATGACAGCATGTTTTTCACATAGCGTGTGTGTAATATTAATGTCTGTTATTCTGACCTGTCTGGTTTCAGGGTCGATGAGGTCAAAGAATGCCCTGACAGTAGCAAGAACAAGCTCTTTGCACCTGGAACACAAAGACATATACACTGTATATTAATGATCTGCATTCTATTTAAATGTGGTTTTAAAGGAATGCATAGTCTACCAAACATAATGCCACGTCTTTTACCAAACGATGGACAGATGGTCAGTGGACACCCATGTCCTGGGTACTGCAGTTGCCTTGACAAAAACAAGATGACATTGAAACAAAGTGTCAAGAGCAGCGCAGGATCAAACACAACCTACAGAGCCCCTTTGCAAAACTTCCAGTAACTTTTAGCATGGTTTGCCAACAAGGCAAAAATGGCTACCTCTGGAGCAGGAACTAATTTCTGATCTTGTGCATTCAGTGCAAAAATCGGTAAAGCTCCTCAGTTCCTGAAAAAATTCCAGGGTTTCTGGAAAACTTGCTGCGGGAGCTACAATGACAAGGTCAATTGCAACTTAACCAATTCACAAACAATACTTACCACCAGTGACAACTTATTGGGGTCTCCAGGCGGACAAGGTAGGGATGTCAGGCCGGAGCGGACCTGGTAGTCGCGGTAACCACCCCCAACAGACAGAACTGTGACATTCCTGAGCTTTTTCGCGTGGTTCACCCACTTCTGTCTCACTGCAGAGTAGAAATCTACAAAGAGCAGAGACAAGGACAAGTTAAATAATCTGAATTCATATTTTACATTATTGCTATGATATACAGTGCTGCTTTTATTTTGCACTTAATTTTATATTGTTTTAAATATTAGGAAGTGCCATCGTAACTTCGTATAATGACAAAAGTTTCTTATCTTGTGATCTCAAAAAGTTCTTTCTGTATTTTCACATATAAGCAAGTCACATTTAGGAATAAGACAGCCTGCATTTGAGTTTTGAATTTAGGTTTCCTAAGGGGTTACTGTCAGAAAATTTGTGATGGCATTACTGTTTTTTTATTGCTGTTGTCCTGTTGGCTTGAAATCAGGACTTGCAGACACATCTCAGAGGTCAAGGTATCAAAGTACCAGCATGAGAGTTCTCCTTACCCAGCAGGTACGGGTCCAAGGCAAGCACTGGAGCTAGGTGGGGTGAGGCCTGGGTGATGATGAGGCTGACCAGATTGGTGTTAAAGCGGGGCAAAGTGAACAGCGCCCGGGCCACCACTCCTCCCATGGAGTGACCAACAAGCACCACGCTCTGCGGGGGCGTCTTCAGGTGCTGGCAGGCAGAGAAAAGGAGAAAGCAGTCGGTTAAAAACCTAATCCGCGTATGTGGTTAAGGGTCAAATAATTACAAGAAAGTAGCATAGCATTAGAAAAATGAAAGGCTTAGTAATCGCATCCAATAGTGCCATATGTAGGGGTAGGCAAAAAACAAACATTCTTGTGCCTCACACTGTCAGTTCCAACTTATGACCTCTGTTTGTCTTTGATGTTGCACTTTGTGTTTGGGATTAGTCATCGTTTTTGAAGACTGCTCCTTTTGATCCCTAATTAAATGACTTTGCAATTTTGCATCACTAGACTACTAGACCTGCAGTTTGAGCACAAATTATCTGACTTCATCGGAGCATTGCCAGTTGATTATTGTTTTTTTTTTTAAACATCACATCCAGGAGCTGCTTGCCAGACTGCTTTGACCACTGGGGAAAGTTGCTAACTGTCATTCATCCTAATATAATCCTGCTCCCCTGTAGCTGTGTTTACTATCGCAAATGGTTCAGGTAATTATCCCCTGCAGGTTGACAGACATAAACATTTAATGGACACTAGTATATCTACTGTTAATCGTGCATTTTGATTGCACTGGCTTCTTGTAATTTTGGCAATTTAGGTATTTTAGTTTATTCCACTGTTGCCTTGTCAACTTGTGCAGTCCAGAGGGATTATATATATGCATCAAAATTTAAATGTGGAGGGTGATGAAATGTGATATGTATCCCCAACACTGAAATATTACTCCACCGGCAATATCCGTCAGTAACTCTGTCTGACGAGTGGCTGATATTTGAGGACTGACCTTGTAGAGCCTCAGGATGGCCTTAATGCTCTCATGCAGGAAGTGAGTTTGTCTGAGCAAACTGCCACCATAAAGGGCCACCAGCTCCTCATTGAAGTCCACAGTGAACACATTGAAGTGGAGCCCCCCATCCATGTTCTCAGCCTTCCTCAAGGCTACAGAGCCCAGAGAGCGAGCTTCAGAGAAGAGAAACAGACATTTGACAGAGACAAGTAGTGCGATTGGGCTCAGTGTTTATACAGACAGCATTAAGTGTGAAAAATTTAGTAAAATCATACAGATGTGGGGTCAATGCTAGTCCTAGCTCATCACAACCATATGCTCAGATGCTCTGCCAACTGACAGGCTGCAATAATTATTTATGCACAGCTCTTATGTGCAAATAATTTTTTTATATTTTGAATTATTGATCAGAGTCATCACGTCTTCGGCTTCTTTGGATCCCTGGGGAGGCTATTCGTGACCTAAAAATACAACTCTCTAGTTACTGTTAAGAAAGCTCATTAAATTTACAAAGACTGTACCATTTTTCTGTAAGGCAGGCCCCTGAAACATACCAGTAACACCCTGATCTCATTTACACCTACATATGCTGGTATACCATCAAGCTGTTGTAACTTGTGACATTAGGAAGCTGTTGTTCATACATTGGCTTGATAAGTCTCAATGCAAGACAAGAAATGTTACGAACAGAGAGCATGCACCATCATCACACACACTACAGTAACAGCAAAATGTGTTTGTTTTCACATGAATAAAAGCGTGGGTGTTCTCCTCCTACACACAACTGATAGCAAGAACAGGGGACCAGCATAATTTCAGAAAGGATTTGTATCATTGAGAGCATAACTAAGTTATCAGTTGAAGAAAAGATTACCGGCCCTGTTTAGATGACCTATAGCGTGCGGTTGAAAGTGCATGGTGCAAGCGCTTTTAGGGTGTGTCTGACTCCACACTGTTAGTTAAACAGCGCATAATGTGTGCGCAAAGTAGGGTGGAAGGGGCTGAAAGGGTTGTATTGAATCAGTTAAGTATAGGTGTTTTGGGTGTAACATGAATTTAGCTATTCAGAGACTACATTTACATGCACAAATTATTCCAGTTTTTGCCCTTATTCTGAAAAGGACAATATTCTTACCAAGCCATTTACATGGCTAGTGAAAATGAATATTCCACTGATATTCTTGTTTACATGCAGCTAAGTATACTTCCATTAACTTGCCCTTGTTTAACACGTCAGCACGTGGAAAAGTGGAAGGCTGGAGCTACTCATGCCATTTAGCTTCTTTGCATCGAAATCTTTTTTTTCAAAGTTTTCCACTAGTGGCACACTTATTCTTCCATGCAAACACAGTATCCCTCTTTCATATCCAAGTCTTTCATGATGTTTAAAAGTTGGTGTGTTTCTCCTTCGGACCAGAAATGTGGGCTTTTCTCTCTACCACAGCCTGCAAACTGCTGGCAAGTTGGTATGTGTGCAATGTATCCATGGCAATCTATAGAGCCGACTATAAACAGGCAAGATGCTGTGTGTTGCAAACTGCTGTAAAAACCCCAGTTGGGAAGCATATTTTGAATGCGCTGTATACATGTCCAAAGAATGCTCCTAAAACCTGAATAACACTAGCATATCTCACATGCCTAATCAGAAAATACTACATTAGGAATGCTCACATGGAATGTGCTGTTTGAAAATTGTCATATTCTCAATAATTGTGAAATATTAGTGTGCATGTAAATGTAGTTCCCACTCTCTTTAAAAGCCAGGTGCACTTGCAAATCCAATTCAAAAACATTGGGATGCAGTATAAAACATAAATAAAAACAGAATGCAATGAATGGCAAATCCTTTTCAACATCCTGTGGGGTAAATAAGTATTTAACATTTTTTCCATTACACATTTCAAATGCAGTTATTCACATTAAAATTTAGACTGGACATTGGTAATAACTCAATAAAACCACACTGATATATAAATCAGAATATTTCAATCCATAATAAGTATGTGCAATAGAGTGGAATGATACAGTGTAATGAACATGCTCACTGTAATTTATTTAATACTTGGAGAAGCCTTTGGCTTTGTTTGCCACACAGCTTCAGTTTGTAAGTGCTAATATCGTAGGCAACTGGACTTGTGTTTCTCGAAGACACTTCTCCTCTCATCCAAGAAGAAACGTCTTCAAGAAACGCAAGCAAGTCCAGTCGCCTACGATATTAGCACTTATGATTACCATGACCTGTATGACTGAGAATCTTCACCGACAGCTTCAGTTCCAAACCAATTTATTTTTTTGGTCAAAATGCCCAGAACGGTTCAAAAATGGGTACGGTAACCACAACAGAACCTGTTCCATGTTGGTGGAAAAGGGTTAAGATTTTGGTGGGTCCACTTGTGAATCTTAAGAATGAAACTTCTCTTTCAGCATTTAAAAAATTAGTGTACACGTGTTGTTAATCTGGCTAAGCATGTCTTACTATTTGAATAATGCAGCATTTAAATAGCAGGAAAACACTGCGTCTTTCTGAATTTAGACCAGGTTTTTGTTTTTTGTTGCCAGTCAATGGCAAAATCGCTTTCTACTGCCTGAAAATAGCAATACACCAACAATGCACCTGACCACACCTCATTTCAAGATCTACACACTCATGGGCGCACAGATGGGTGCAAGTACATTTGCTGCTTATACTATGTGGGTGCTGGCCATGAAAAAACTATAAATTACAGTTGCACTGCGCAGTGCGCTGCTTTATACTGGGTGCAAGACTTATGTCACCAGAGGTACCATGCTTGAGTTCCCACAACAAATTCATGTCCAACTCCAATATAAATTGAAAATATAATAGACAATACAGTGTGCAAGTATCTACATTTCTTATTGTGAACAAAACTCATGAAAAGACCAAAACCGCACTGCATTAGTCCATTAGTTTTCCTAACCTGTGGAGCTCAGACCCAAGCACATATGTCCCTATTGAGGACATACATCTTTAAAATGGCGTCACCAATACAGTTTCCTTTCATTATAGTTGCTATGTCATTTTCTGAAACAGCTGGCTAGGGCCAAGCAATACAGAGAAAATCAAACATTACAGTATTTTTGACCAAATACTTCAATATTGATACCTGGATGATATTGCAGGGTTGAATATTGGTGCTTTCACAAAATATTTATGAGCTTTTTCATGAATAATCACCAGCAATGTAGCTATGATGACTAATGGGTAAAGGCAAATAGCAGTGCAGCTAGAAGAGTCTGGTAAGTTCAGAAAATCAAATCAGGATTCAGACAGGAAAAGACAGCACTTATGATATTACGAAATTGAAAAATCTAGGACATTATCTAGTCTAATATCATAACATTGAAACAATATCAATATATTGCCCAGCCTTACTAGGCACTGTAGATTTTAGCAAACATTACATACACTGGAGTCAACTGTGTGCTTCTTGAGGACTATTCTTAGTCGTGGATTAACACAAATTTGGTGCTTAAGCGAGTATTTAAAGCAGCAAGACGGTGCATGTGGGATTTACTCAAAATAAACTACAGTGGGTGTGTTCATGGTAATAAAGGAACGTGTCATCCAGTGCAACATTGTGTGTAGCTCTGGGAGAACACATCCTCCTTACTACAACAACAAAAACCAAACACTACTGAAAAATGTTTTCAAAAGTCAGGTTTTCAAGATTAATACAATTTTCTAATGTTTACATGTGAATTCCAGCCCCACATACACAAAACGAAATGTGGAAACTTGATTTCTCTTAGGCTACATAATAAAGCTCTAACATCCATTGTCTTATAAAAAAACAACCTGAAAGCTAGTGTGTCAAACTGTGAAGGACAATCGAGCCTACTTGCCAGTCAGGGAGACACTAATCAACAAAAAGCATGAAACCACGCTCGTGTCCTTAAACAACCTCAGCATGTCCACTGTCCACAATTTCACCTCTTTCCTCTTCAACATCTGTCTTTGCTGTTCAAAGCTGTAACACACAACTTTCACTTGCCTTGTTTTCTCCCTTTGTTCAACCCTCCATTCATTTTGTGCACTTACCTTGTTTGTAACTGCCTGCATTTCCAGGCAGGAAGAGCACAGGGGCACCGGTGAGTTTGAGTGCTCTGGTCTCCTGGGCGTACAGACCCTCTCCATATAGGTAGAGCCCGTACGCTGGGTACAATCTGGCGACACGACGAGGCAGAGCCACACGCTGTGAACCCAACATGCACCCACACAGACACGGATTAGGGGGTGAAGTCCCACAGTCACATCAATCTCAGACAATTCATTAACCTTTAGGTCTCACTTGTAAACACACCACACACCTGTCTCACTAAGAAGCACAGTGAAGCAGCTCCAGCACTAAGTAAATCTACTCTAAATCTACTTTTATGTGAGAAGTAATGAGATGTATTTGATATAGGCCTAGTTAACCCTTAATGTGCTCAAGACATGACCTTCATTTTAGATAATGACACATGTGCTGTTCAAGTGTAAGGCTACATCTGGGAATGTGTAGGATTGATTAGAGCTCAAACATTGAGTCTATTAATCAAGCAGTCAACTGAAAGTAAATGAATATACAATACATAATATACATAATTTTTTATAATTGATAAGTCATTTAAAGTATTTTTAAAAGCAAAATTGCCAAAAATGTGCTGTTTCCAGTCTCTTAAATGTGGGGATTTACTGCTTTTATCAGTTTCTTATTACAGTAAATAAATACTGAACAAAACAAGGAGTTTGAATACATCTACTTGGGGTGCTTGATGGTATGATGATGGACTTTTCTTTTTTTTCTATACCAAACAATTAATGAAGAAAATACACAGAGCAATACAATTATTCGAAAATTATGATTAGTAGTTAGTACAGACATAGCTGAATCACAACATTACAATGACCAAAATAACTGATTTCAGATCATGATTTGATCATGATCATGATCATGATGTCAGAGCTTTTCAAACTTAAAGGGATAGTTCAGAGTTTCTGAAGTGAAGTTGTACGTGGTACTTAGTCAGTGTATTGCACATTAGATGTTAGTCGGCATGCTGCTAGTTTGGAGGAGCAGACTTAAGTCCTACACAGAGGCTAAGCAATTTACTGCTGCGAACAGGGGTCAGCAACAAAATCTAATTTAGCTACCTAAAGATATATATATATATATATATATATATATATATATATATATATACATATAATGATTTTTTTTTGGGTGGCTAAAATATGCTGTGTTGCTGACCCCCATCCACAGCAGTAGATCGCTGTCATCTACTGTTTGTGGTACACTGACTAGGGATAGGTCCCTCCTACAACCCAGCTTAAAAAAAAAATTTGAACTATCCCTTTAAACCTACTTGCAAGAAGTATCTACTGAATAATGATTTTCTTTTTCATTTGCAAAAACAAAAACAAAGCTTTTATTTAAAACATATGGAGCTATTTTTTGTCTTCCTCCCTTTTAACGTAACAAAAAGCACACACTCCTGTCTGAATTAGGGTCTTTGCCCATACAGTGCATTGCCCCCAGCTGCGCTCCACTTCTGGACAGATGAACACATTAGTGAGCATAAAGCAGGGGAAGGTGACCTACATTGCATTACTAACATTAACTAACAGCATCTTCAACAGTCTTTACCTGGCTTGTAGTTTATGTGGAACACACATCCCCACATCTCGCAAAGCTGATCTGCTGAGAGGATTCAAGGATCAGCAGTTGATTTATGGTTTTAACATGGCTAACTTGGGATCATCTAATCTGACTCCTTAACAAACACACACACTTCCAACCAGACAGGTGTGTGTTTATGGGAACCATTGAGGAAATTCATTAGGGTGACCAGACACCCCCCTTTGCCAGGGACAGTCCCTGTTTTTGGTGGCCTGTCCCCGGCCAGAGTTGTCAGCGGAAACTGTTAAACAGCAGGGCTGCCAAAGCTAAACTGACTGAGATTCATGCAACTGACGCATTTCACATGCTCTCACGCCACACATCCATGGACAGACTATGAGACAATGGGCCACTGGGCACAGGTATGCAAAGGGCCCCACCACCTCTCCTACATTTTTAAATGTATTTCTTATTCAGCGACTCTTTATAGTAATAATGCATCTTATTGTGTTCTTGTGTCTCCTTGTGGTAATTTAGTATGTGGTTATTTTGTGTATGTCTCTGAGATCATGCTGTGTTTGTTACTTTGTGTCTTTTTGCTATTCATGTGCATCACTATGTAGCCATTTAGTCTCTTCCTTGTTAAAGTATAAAAAGATATTACAAATATTTACAATAGAGTAAAATAATATAAACTATGAAATAGACAAAATAAAAAAGACCAATATAAAAGTAGCATTACATGAAAAAATAAAAAGGTAATGTCCAGGAACATTCCCAAACTGGTTATGTCACATTAAAATACATGAGCCCTGTTATCAGGCAACACAACCCTTCACCTGGTGTAACTGGCTCTGTAACGTTAGCTGGATTCAGGAAATAGCTTCACAGACGCTCGACAGGAATAATACATGTTGCCTGTTCAGGTGGAAATACGTTTCTGTTTGCGGTGTTGAAAGGACCAAAACAATTTAGCAAGATACTGTAGCCTATGCGAGAAACAACGCGACAAATGCGCTACGCTATAGGCTAACGGGGGTAACGTAACGTATTGTATGAGGTGTTGAGTGAAATAATTAGCCTAGCTACTCACCCGGTATTCTGGGTATTCAAACATATAGGTCATACTGCATCTGTTCTCCTCGAAGCCAGTCAGCAACTCTCGCAGGCCAACCGCCAGAAGCCCCAGAGCCAAAGCGTAAAAGGCCACAGTGACGAGTTTCATGGTTCAGTTACGACTCCGGGTTTCATACATTACAGGTGTCTCATCTCCATGTTTTCATTGTCAGTCTGTTAACACCCAACCACATAAGATACTACACAGGTTGCCACGCTCACCGGCTGAACATTGACAACAGGAACCATATACTGTACAAACAGTAGTGATTGTCAGGTTTTTCGGCCAATGGGAGGAGGGAACTTGAGGAAAGACCAATAGGAGAGCAGACAGCGACTGACACAACTATATGTCAGGAATTGCTAAATTTAGCTGCTTCAGTCAAGTTTGATTTGTTTTTTCATGCTGTGTTTTATTATTTTTTTTACTTGTCTTCTAGAACTGCATTTCCAAATGGCCTTAATATAATGTTTATAAGTAGCTGTTTGCATGTTCAGTTATTAGAAATACACTGATCAGACAACAAACATAAAACCACTGGTGGGTGAGGTGAAAAACATTGCTAATCTTGAAACCTTTGGTCCTGGCATTCATGTGGATGTCATTTCACATGCTCCACCCATCCAAACACCATTTTAGACCAAGTCCTCCGACCTCATGGCAACGGTACTCCCCAATGGCAATGCCCCCCCCCACCAGGACAATGCACCTTGCAACACTGCAAAAACTGCTCAGGAATGGCATGTTGAACATGACAAAGAACTCAAGGCATCGAAGTGGCCTTAAAATTCCCCAGATTCCAATCTGATCAAGCATCTGTGGGACTTGCTGATACCCCACTTCACAACCCACAGGACTCAAACAATCTGCAGCCCAGTGCAAGACATCACAGGACATCCCCCAAAGGTCCTGTGTCCATGCCTTGACAGGTCAGAGCCAAGTCTGATCCAAGGAGGCCCCACTGTAGCTGGGGGGTACCTCTGGGGTACTGGCATGTCCCATGAATACTTGATCAGTTTGGGATCTGGAGATTTTGGAGGCCAGGTCGAGACCTTGAGCTCTTTGTCATGTTCCTTGGTCCATTCCTGAGCAGGTTTTGCAGTGTTGCATGGTGCATTAATGCACCATGCAACACTGGGCTGCCATCTGGGAGTGCCATTGCCATGAGGGGGGATACTGGGAGTGCAACAGTGTTTGGGTGAATGGAGTGTGTCCAGTGGCATCCACATGAATACCAGGACCCAAGGTTTCCCAGCACAACATTGCATTATAACAAGACAATCAATGTTATTCACTTAACACGCCTTTTATTCTAATGTTTTGGCTAACTGGTGTACATTTTAATTTTAACCCTTTTAACAACAAAATATACATAATTGTGCAGACAAGTCCCATGGTTTGTGCAATCATTGTGTCAAAGTATATACAGGAAAACAATAAGTGAACACAAACCCTGTTAAGTGAAGAAACTATAGGAAATCAATGACACATTCTTCATCTCTCAAATCTTTAATAAAACAATCAGGGTCTGCTGCAGCTGCATCAAGCTCCTACATGTACACACATATGGTACATATATAATATGTGCTTCAGAGTCAGGTGCAACAGGTTGTGTTAAAATTAAAAGACAGTTATCTCCTGTGTGAAAGCAAATCTGGTACATTTCATTGTCTTTGTACCACACAGTCCTACATAGAGAAACAATAGTTTCCAAAACAGCTGCAGCAAGACCAATTCATATGATGTTACACAAAAGTTGAAATAAAGCCACAATTGATTTGAAAATAAGAGGAGACTCCTCTGGCAAGATTAATTAATGTACAAAATCTTTCAAATCACCAGTTCATAAACCTAGTCAAGTTTTGATCACAGTTTCTTTTATTGTGGGGGTGGGGGATAAGAGATAATGAAGAGAACCATAAGAAACACTGTTATGCTGCAGACAGTTCTGGGCAGTATCTAGGATAATAGATAGGTTGGCTCATGTGTCTTTTCTACATTGAACAGTGGAATCCAAGTTTGTCCTGGTGGTTTCATCTGACTTCCCAGTGAGGAGTTTTGCTGTTTTTGTTTTCTTTAAATTTAATTTTAGAAAACAAATACTGAGGTGAATTTTGTGTCTTTGACTAGTTTCCACTGGCACCGCTGACTCAAATCAAAAGCACCTTAGTCCAGGAGTCTGGAGTGCTCTATCCTCGTAATGGTCCAGTCTGGAGCCACTCCCTTAGTAAACTCCCTTTGGAATCTGTCAGAAAATCAAAAAGAAAGGTCAGAACAAATACTCTACATCACACAGGATTTTCAGTACACTATATGCACAAGTCACTGCACTCCTGACAGAAAAGATATACTCACTCATAGTTTGCACTTAGCAGTCTCTTAGTTTCTGCTTCTCCCTCCCCACCAATGGCCACCTGGAAGACACGGGTTCCCTCCATGGTGTCATTGGGAAGACGTGCACTTGTCAGATACCAGAAACGCATCAGAATACTGACAAATTTTCTCCCTGGGAAAATGGTACGGACACTGATTAACACAGCACAAATAATCACACTTCTATTGCATGTTTGGCTGTCCTGGAAGAGGATTCTCCCTCAGTTACTCTGCCTCAGATTTCTTCCATTTTTCCCTGGTAAAGGTGAGTATTTACAACAGCAGGCTGGTATATGTAGGACTAAATCAAAATAAACGACAGTGTGTGTGTATTCATAGTAATGAAGGAACATATCACCCAGTGCAACAGTGTGACACACTGATATGTTTTTAATAGTTTCTGGACAACAACTGAGCTCTATGGCACAGAGGAAGAAGACATATCAGGCTTTGGCTGGGTAGAAATTACTTGTTGGTGGGATTGTTGTTGATTTAAGGTAAACATACTGACCATTGTCATCATAGTAGATTCCCACGTCTCCAGGTGTTGTGTACATGATCTCATCAGGATGTGCAGAGAGAGCTTTCTTGTGGCTCGATGGCAGCAGATTACACTTTTCCTCAAGCTTTCCAATCAACTGCGACAACATGAAAATGAGAAAGCCTGTTAGATAGCATATCCTTTGATACAAGAAAACAAGTCTTGAATAGATTGGGATATGTTTGGCAGTAATATTATTAATTGATTACATTCTACAAATTATTAAATTATGATTGGTATTATCAGTTCATCTTTTATTATTAGTTTGCTTACAAACAGGCTTGTGGGACAACCTGGAAGTCCATTAAGATAATTGTTATGACTAGTTATCCACACCTTTGTATTCTCCTATACGACTGGTTCCAAACTATTTGGCTTGTGACCATGTATATTAAAGCAATTCCTTCATGACAATTTGCTCTTTTTCCACAAGAGAAAATGTAGAGTAAAGTATAGTCTGAAAAAAGAAAGAAATATACTTTTTTTTTTTTTGGAACCACTGGCCTTGTCTACTATAATCCAATATCCTGTATATTGGTAATAGTCTTTCATAAAACTTGTCTGTCTTTGCAGATGAAAGATGCAAATACTTATGAAATTGGTGCTACGTGACCAGAGAAAACAGAGATAAAGGGATAGAGCATTTGCTTTTGCTAATGAGGTAGAAAACCTACAAGTACCAGAGTGCACTGCGCCACACTGGACCAATAAACAAACCCGCAGGTGCATGACGTAATGAGAGCTTGTCTGTTTTGACACAGGAAACAATAGCCTATGGTGGCCCACTGGTAACAAATGATTGCGAATTACAGTTAAACAGCACATTGAAATATGTTCTGAAGATTTATAAAAGGTTTATATGTGATCAGCACTGCCTAGTTTTACAGTTTGATCTCAGGTTTAGAGAAAGAGAGAGAGGGGCGTCTCTTTCTCCCAATCCACTTCTATACTCTTTGTTTCTGTGGTGGCAGGCAATGAAAGTGAGGAAATACAATCTGTCATTCGAGCATCAGCCCGAGAGCAAGCTCAGTTCTGCCAGTGGGATCTGGGCACTGGTAAGATGGAGGGAAGTTTACCACAGTTCATTTATACATTCTACCCACATTGTTATGATATAAAGCTGGTTGCTTTATATCATTGCTTTGGTGCCATGTCTGTGTTTGTACGGCACTTATTGGGGCCAGGGATTGCAGTTAACAAACATAACTAACAATGGATACAAATTTGTGCAATGACATTGAAAAAATAAATTGATGTCTTGGTCAGTACCACATCTGCTTAACAATGTATGGATGCTGATAATGATCCGGTGTATCGGATCCCTAGATGATGCATACTATTGACTGACAATCTAATGCAGAAATGGAGGCAGGACTCAGAGCTGCTAAACATGACACACAATACAGATAGTGGTGGAAAAAGCACCAAAGAGATTTAGGAAAACAATCAAATTAATGTTAAATTCTTGGACAACCACTTTGTATCATATTTATGACATTTAAACAGATGTCTCATGACGGAAGTGGATTCATTGAATACTAACAGCAAAACAAACAAATAAATAGTAGTAGTTTTCCGTAGTAGTATGGACAGGTACAGAATGGATAATACAAGTTTGGACTTGCTGGGTTCCCATACTCACGTCTTTAGCCACAAGCCCTTCTAAAGCTTCAAACTGGCACTGTGACAACAGTCTGGAAACATGGGAGAAGGCCTGCAAAAGTTAACACAGCAATCTCAGTAACAATAGAACAGAACTAACACTGTATTAACTGGGGTTAAGGTTAAAGGTCCCATATTTTATAAAGTCAGATTTTCATGTCTTTTTTTTAATATAAAGCAGGTATAGGTGCGATATAAATACTGTGAAAGAATCAAAATGCTAAATCCACAAAGTCGTCCGTATTTAAAAACTGCGCCTTTAAATGAGCCGTCAGGACACCTGTGAATTTGTGATGTCACAACCCGAGCTGCTGCATAGCAATGCAATTCCAGCAAAATGGTCTATAAAGATAGAAAGGGCTGCCACAGTGCTGTTACAGTCATTTCCCGGCTTGTGGAAATATCATGCTGTTATGTTGCCTTGCCATTCTGTATAAAAAGGTACAATGGCGGAATGGGGGGGACAGAGCTGCCTCTAAGTCAGAAATAGAACAGCGCCTAAATGATGTCTGTATAAACGGGACAGTCAGCAGGACGGAATCATGGATGGCAGTTAGCAGCTTACTCAAAGAAGAAGAATAGTGGCTAAAAATGTCAGCAAATTGGGAAAACAATTAGGTCCTGGGAGCTCCTTACCCTCCAAGTAGAGGACAAGATCAGCCACAATGTATCAGAGATTGTAAATGATTGTTATTTCCATGCTATGTCATTGTTATTGTTAATTAAGTGCTGACAAAGCATATGTTGTATATGTTAAAATGTAAAGGCAGCATAAAGAAGACACGTCATAGCAGCTCTACAGCACCATCTCTGTGTAATAAGACCTATCAAAAACATAGATGTGAAAGACCCTGAAACACTGACCAATCAGACAAGACTGGGCCTTTCAGGAGGGGGACTTAAAGAGACAGGCGCTGAGAGGGAGCATTTTAGAAAGAGGATGAACGCAGTTATAGTCAGGCAGACAGTATGAGAAAAATAAGGTGTTTTAGAACACTAAACCATGCAAACATGTTGTTGTAGAAACCCAAAATGCATTCATGAACCTGAAAATTAACATAATATGGGACCTATAAATTAAATGTATTTTATGTTTGTACTTGACATCTGTCAGAGAAGTTGTAGCTGTCGAGTAACAGCCACTTTGTCACCCAGTGTTTCCAGGTATTTACAGACCTGCTTGGCTCCCTCCGTGAACTCTTCAATGCTGAACTCTTTATCAAAGTAAGCCCTGATCAGGAAGTAGTATATTCGGGTGCGAAACCAGATAAAAGGATTTGGGATGTCGACAACCACCACCTTCTGGTTCTGTCCGCCCCGGTGGGAGCTGTACGGGCGGACTGCTGCTGCCGAAGCGGCAGGCGATGAAGACGGAAGCCGCGTTTTACCCGACCGATTCAGAACGAGACTTTCATTTAAAAATAGACGAGTAAAGCTATATGTCGATGGAAACTTATAACAACCTCTTAACATGGGAAGCGACATCTTTGTTTTTCCTCGGAAGCGTTCTTGTTCGTGGACTTATATCTTCCGGCTAGAAACATATCGCCAATTTTAAATATACAGATATTAATGTCACAAAATACTGATAATCAGACGCCATTTTTGGCATTTATCAAACAAGCACATCGTTTTGTAACTAAGAAGCAATTTTTTTGGGGGGGAGGGGGGTTTACAGTCCACTTTCACTTAGTCTTTTTTGTTTCAATGGGGAACACTAATAATGTGACGCCCCATACGTTCAAGAGCTGTTTACTGTCACTAGCTGGTGGATATCTGAAGCAAATCATGTGAAATGGAGCTCCAGGAAAAAGTAACGTTACCTGTGCCGATATTTACAGAAGTTGATAAGGACGTGTTTCTGCGACAGATTTATCCAGAGGTGAGATAAACCCTGGAGACTAGTGTCATTATGACAGTATCCAACCGTGTTTCTAGACTGCTGCTGCTTCTTTGACTTTTTCTGCTGCTGTCACTCTCATTGTTACAAGAAAAACTGTCATTTGACACTTGAAAGACAATTCATTGGGTACTTCTTAGACATATATAAAAGGCAATGTCTCAGGTCAGGTCTTACGTTACTGGTGGTGTTTACAGAGAGGCTCTGCAGCATTAATTAATAACAGATGATGATAGAAGATTATTCGCCTACAATGATGAGAATCAGTTAATGAGTGTAGACATTTCCTATGCCAAAGCACTGATTTTCTCTGTTTTAGATCACTATAAACGACATTACCAAATGAAGTCAAAGTTGTTGATATGAAGAGTCCACTAGCTTCCAGTTTGTCAGTTTTTGTTGTTGCATGCGTGTGAAGTGACATTCAAGGTCAAAGTATCCTGACTTCAGGTATACTGAGTTCCAAAAACTCCTACAATTCCCATCATATATTTTAGTAGTGTCTATCTATGAGAGCACTCCAGCCTGGTAAATAGGGACCTCTGTTAAACTCTGTGACCTCAGTTTGTAACACAATGTCTGATGACATTATCTGGGTTATTTTCTATAACTTAAAAGAGCTCCTGTGTGACTGGTGGAGTGCTACTATAAGTTAGGTGTAATAATGTGAATAATATTAGATCCTGGGTCCATTTATTTGCCATCAGACAGGCTGTGCAGATGTGAATTGGCAGCTAAATTATACCAATTCTTTTCCAGCGCAGACCAGCCGTGCTCAGAGGGATGTGTCTTGGACCATGCCTAGAAAAATGGACAGTTGAATATCTTGGACAGAAAGGGAGAGATAAGGAAGTGAAGATTCATGTATCCACTGTGCCACAGATGGACTTCCTTCGCAAAAACTTTGTTTACAAGTGAGCTCTCTCTCTCTCACACACACACACACACACACACACATACACACAAACACACCAATCAGTCCTCCTTCTCTGCAGAGTTCCCAGCTATGCCTCTTTATTCACAGGACTCTGCCATTCAAGGAGTTTGTGAAAAGAGCATCTGAGAAAAAGCACTCTGATTTCTTCCTGTGTGAGGCAAGGGTCATAAAATACGGATATGGTATAAACTGTTTTTTTCACAGTATGATATATCCTTAAATGACACAAAGTTTTTGGTGTTATTATAGGATTAGAGCTACTATCTTCGATCACTAGGAGAAGACGTACGAAAGGTATTAAGAGGACTCAGTGTTGTGGAATCTGTGAAGATGAATCATTAGGTTTTGTACCTGAGAGTTTTTGTTATTTATGTGGCAAAATGTCTTCAGTCTGACTCTGCAAAAGCTCTTGACCAGGAATATAAATGTCTCTCTCACAGGAACCTGCTGATCTGAGCAAACAGTTCCCAGACTTGGCAGAGGATTTTCACATCCCGCAGTTCTTTGAACCCGAGCAGTTTTTCTCCAGTGTGTTCCGCATCAGCTCCTGTGGTCTGCAGCTGTGGACACACTACGATGTGAGTATCCTGCATGTAGTTTCTCTACCAATAATTTCCATTTTTATTTTTATTTTTTTTGCCTGTCTGTATCATTGAGTCAGACACTGGTCTCATAATGTGGGACGTGCAGCGTCAGGGCCAGTGAGCACAGGTGTGGGCAGTGCATGAGTATAATTTTTAACTTGTTTTGCCCAAGGGCCGGGGGCACTTTTTATTGATCTACAAGGTTTATTGTTGTTATTTTCCTTTTAATGCACCCTGGCACCTTATTTACATTTAAAGTACAACAAAAACTTCCCAGTGTTATTAGTTCACATTCACTGTGAAATAGAGAATGGTCTGTGGGCCATCCAACACCCTATTGTGTGCTAGATTTGGTCTGAGGACCTTAGGTTAAGTGTCACTGAATTAATGCTTAAACTTTTCTCTCTTACAAAATTTTTCTCCCTCTTTCATTCCTTCAGGTGATGGATAACCTGCTGGCTCAGGTGACAGGGATGAAGAGAGTGGTTCTCTACAGCCCCCAGGATGCATTGCACCTTTACCTGTCAGGCAAGCAGCTGTGGAAAGATGCCACTTTGTTTTAATGCTCAAAATATAACTGCATCTACCTAATTATTTTTGAAAAGTTGGTATAATGTAACCCATTAGGTGATAAATCAGAAGTTCTGGACATCGACTCCCCAGACCTGAAACGGTTTCCTGAGTTTGTGAAGGCAAAGCGATACGAGTGTGTGTTGGAGCCTGGAGATCTACTTTTTATCCCTGGTAGGTCAAACCGTCCACATTAAAGCTAAAGCTAAACCAGTAACAAAAATTTGTAATGAAAATAACTTTTTGTTATATAAAAATCATGTTCCTCCTCCTCGTAGTGCTTCTAAGGCCCCGATCACATCAAGATGTGTTACAGCATTCATATGAATACAACCCAAAGGCGCTGCCGCTACAAAAACATCTTGTTAAAGCGTGTCGTGCATAACAGGGCGGTTTGCCTGTGAAGCAGGGCTGCATTCGCAACTGGGTGATCAAATGTGATTAACAAAAAACACACACAAACTTATTTCCTGTAATTTCCCCCATGCCCCTCCCACATGTAGGCTCTCTCAGATAGTTATCTATCTGATACCATCATGACATGAGATAGGAATTCCCTCTCACATACCTTGTAGAGCTCTCACAGTCCAACAGCTAACTAGCGAGCCATCGGCATAGTAAACAGCATTACACTCACCAGGGGAACTCACTTGGCAGCTCCATGCATGTGATCGTTGATTAGTATTTCAGTAATAGAGTGACTTTCCACTAATATCAACCTTTCATTTGCATTCGCCGTTGTCCCACTGTTCCTACCACATCTACCAGCATTAAAACAGTAGTCACGGCCATTTCTTCCTTGTTTTGATTGGCTGCTTGGGCCAAGTGCAATATTGACAAGTGGTGTGACTCTGTGCCTTGTGCTGAAAAGTTGAGAATATTTTAACTTTTATGCTGTCTAAAAACAGCAGTGCAAGACAGGAGCTCACGCCTCCATGGTCTTGCTTGTGATGTGCTTCTAGCGATGTGTCTCGGTGTGATCGGGCTTAATGGCATTTGCAAGAATCACAAAAACAACCAATCAAAGCCAAACAGTCCTTAATGCAGCTATCAGTCATGTCAATCACTGCTTATTTGTCACCTCAAATGTTTCCGAAAACATATTTTAGTGTACTGTTTAGCTGTAGCATGAGAACATTTGCCCCAGCTGGTGGGCAGTGCTTCCTTTTGGCTCGAGTGTTTCCAACATGACAGCCAGGCTCTAACTTTCACTGCTAAACAGTACGCTGAAATATGTTTCTGAAAACATTTGAGGTGAGAAACCTCCTCACCTCTGATTGGTTGTTTGTGTTCAGCAGCAGTTGATTCTAGCAAATGCCACCAGAAGCACCATGGGGAGGTGTATATCTCATGTAATAATGTCTCGATATAGTGACAGTTCCATCAAATGTGACAAAAACTTGTGATACTGAAAACAGTTCCTCATATATGACAGATTTTACATCATCAAGTCTCCTGTTCTCCCCAGCTCTGTGGTTCCACAATACCCTGGCTCTGCAGTTTGGTGTGGGTGTAAATGTGTTCTGGCGCCATCTACCTGTGGATAGCTATGACAGAAAGGACCCGTACGGTAATAAGGACCCTGTGGCTGCGACTCGCGCCCTTCAGGCACTGGAGAGAGCACTGCACACTCTGGATGAGCTCCCAGCAGATTATCGGGACTTTTATGGACGCCGTATGATACAGCGCATTCAAAAGCGGACATACTGTGACAATCTGTTGGGCACAACTACACAGGACAGCACACAGGACAGCACATTACCCAGCGGTCAGTTCACCAAACCTGGATGAGTGTCAGGAGAAATGTGTAACCAATAAAACACCCATGTTGCACTCATGTTCATGCTTTGTTTTGATCATTGGCTTTCATCTTGGAAATTGAATGTGTTTATAACAGAGCATGTGGAAGTTGAGTTGAAGAAGAAAACAAAAATATAGGACATATTTCCAGAGGAACCTTACAGTGGAAGCAGACAACTTTTCAACTTTTCTCCTGTCATGTGTTTCCAAGTGGTATTATTGTTGGTGCCGCTGTTGCAAAGACAACAGGATCACTTTCTGCTACCCTCAGTGCCTTGCAACTTTTTCATTTGCTTATAGGGAACCAATCTAAATGCAGATGGTGTCTTTACAGCCATTACATTGTGCAATCAACATTTACTTCATTATATGTTCAATCACATGGCATGTCTATGTCCACTTTAAATACAATTTTAACTCTATTTCCACTTTAAGGTAAATTTCTTTAAAGTTGAATAAGTTTAAATATGTTATATGTCTATGTTATATGTTATATGCCCGTCAGAATCACAAATTCAGGGTTATTCAGGGTTCTGCATATTTTCATGGACAGTATTTAAAAACTTTTCCAGTTACCATGTTGCTGTTATGTTACATAATGTGGAAGGTTACCCATGAAAGACTATTGTATCAATTTTTTTACACACAGCAAAATTCTATGACTTTTACAAAATTTTCATTGATGTCATTTCCAAGTTTTCCATGAGCATAGGAACACTGTATATTAAATACATGACAACTTTTATTAACATCAGGGTTCCCACATATTTCCATGTACAAAATTTCAGAACTTTTCCCTGACTTTTTCAAAATAAAATTTCCAAGACCACACACAACATACAACACAAACAGAACTGCATACCATACTTTATTCCAAATGGTAATTATTGTAAGAAAATTAATTGTGAAATTCTATGACTGTCAGGTTTTTCATGACCTTGGAACCCTTTAACAAGGCAAACAAAAAAAACAAAACTTGTACACTTGTGACATCTAGTGGCTTGGTAGGTACCTGTAACAGTATTTTGAGCTGTAAAATGGGGCAGTTAAAAAACAAAGCACACAGATAAACCATATCACTCATGTATTTTGAGTGAATCTTTACAGCCAGCTTAATTTTCAGTGACATTTCAATGAGAAGCTTATTGCTTCCACTCATTGAGTACCAATTTTATTTTTTGAAACTATGGGACAAAGTCTTGGCCACCGCTTTTATGTTTCTGCGCATTTTGTAGGTGTGCATGTGGAGATCAACTGTTTTCTTAGTGTCTGCCTGAGTGTGAATGTTTCTCTGCCTTGTCACTGGTAACCTGTCCAGCTTGTAGTCCCCTTTCTCACCTTGTATGTAAGATAAACTTCCCTGAACAGCATGGTGAGTACAGAAATTTGGTGGATGGAAGAACACGTGTTGTGCCTAAAGTGTCAATATTTTGTGTGCATTATCAAGTTTTCCAACATGATAATGACCCAAAACACACCTAGTAGATGACAGCTGCCTTGCTGAGGAAGCTGAAGGTGAAGGTGATGGACTGGCCAAGTATGTATCCAGCCCTAAACTCACCTGTGCACCTGTGGGGCATCCTCAAGCTGAAGGTGGAGGAGCTCAAGGTGTCTTCACATCCATCTGCTCCATGATGTCATCATGGAGGAGTGGGAGAGGATTCCTGAAGCAACCTGTGAGCTCTGGTGAATTCCATGCCCAAAAGGGTTAAGGCAGTGCTAGATAATAATGACTGGCACACAAAATATTGACACTTTAGGCACAATTTGGACATGTTCACTGTGGGGTGTACTCACTTATGTTGCCAGCTGTTTACATGTTGATGGCTGTGTTTTGAGTAATTTTCAGAGGAAGGTAAATCTATACTACTATACAAGCTGTACGCTGACTACTTTAAGTTATATCAAAGTGTCATTTCTATAGTGTTGTCCCATGAAAAGATAAAATTAAATATTTCCAAAAATGGGAGAGATGAACTCACTTATGTGAGATACTGTATATAGTTTATACAACAAGTATATTTGTTGAATTATTTCAACTAAATAAACTTTTTCATGTGGGGGTGGCCTCATGGCTGTACGCCTCCACTAACCGGTAAAGTTGCTCTTACAGTTTAAATCCATGTCTGTGAAAACATGGATGCCTCACACACATCTTCAACCCAACAGCACAGACGAGCTATACAATCAGCACAGTTTCAAGGTAGACACTCAAGATTAGTGTCACCAATTCAGTATCTAACCAAATGTCTCCCCTTCTGTTCCTGAGTTGTTTTTGCAGAATGTTATGATGTCACAGCGAAGTTGACCTTTGACCTTTTGGATATAAAATGTCATCAATCCATCATTTTATCCTATTAGACATTTGTGGAAAATGTTGTCATAATTAGCATATGATGCTTGAGTTTGTGAGGTCACAGTGACCTTTGACCTTCAGCCCCCAAATTCTTCTCAGTTAATTCTTGAGTCAAACTGGGTGTTTGTGAAAAATTTATGAAAAATCACTGAAGGTGCTATTAAGATATTTGTTCACAAGAATGAGACAGACACAAGGTCACAGTGACCTTAACCTTTAGCTTCAAAATCTAATGAGTTTATTGTTAAGTCAAAGTGGACATTTGTGTCAAATTTGAAGAGCTTCCCTCAAGGTGTTCTTCAGATATGTGTTTACAAAAACTCTCTGTTTCTGTCCTCACGGTGTGCCGGTGTCAGATGGTGGGTCGCTGCTGCTGCTCGCTATATGTGCTTAACCTAAAAATGTGCATTTTACTGTGTATGTACTGTACCTGAGAGGAAAGCGATGTCCCATCTACCATGCCTGAGAGGAAGAAAGCAGTGTTACTGTAATGTCCAGACAGAATCTATATAAACAAAAGAAATATGTAACAGAAGTTGGTAAAATGTTCCCTACACATACTCGTGATGGTTTCACAGTTACTGATAGATCCATGTTCCCTGTCACAGTGACACCAGATACGTTATCAGCACAAATTACACTGGAACCAAGTGCAGTGAAATGTGCCTACTGTCCAACAGCATCTCCTGAAAGTAGAAATAAAAAGCTCCATGTAAATGTTGCCTTCTTGCACTAAAAAGTGTGTGTATAAAAGGCCTAAACCAAGATGGAGATGTAAATAAGCTTTACTGAAGCCAAGTTATGTATTTTACAACTTTTCATTTTAGGATTACATTCTGCACAGAATACATGAGAAATATTAATTCTTACCAGTTGGATGGCCCCTTGCATCACTCACTATTTCAGTCTTCATTATGAGGGACTTTGTTTTTACATCTTTGATATTTCTGTTGGTAACGACACTGTAACCATCAGTAATGGTTGGTTTGGGCGACCCTGGTAGATATGAATAACAATTGTCATCACTTGTGTTGCACCTTCTTTCAGAAATGGTTGTAACAATTTATTGAAAGGTGAAACTTGAACCTCTGACCTCTGTTCACAAATGTAGTAAATGTAAGGTTATGTAAGTTTTGTGAGGATAATTCTATCCTGAGGGGAAACTCAGGCAGGATTTGGGAGTTACTCCACTATCAATCATATATCATCTTTTGTTGAAACTGACTGAAATGTATTGTTGTATATGTTTTTTTAAAAAAAAGTTTGTTCTGTTCTTTTATTAACTATAGTAAGGCATTTGATAAAGTTTGGAGGACTGTACTATGGTACAAATTGTTAAAAGCAGGTATTAATGGCAAATTTGTGGATGTAGTAAAGAATATGTATAAAAATATTATATCCTTTACATCACTTCCTAGTCATTCTTGGTAATGCAGGTTGAACATTATTAAAAATCTTAATATAGGGGCTACTGTATTGATAAGGGATGCTGTTCTCAGAGGTAGAGCGGGTCGTCCACCAATCAGAAGATCAGTAGTTCGATCCCTGGCTCCTCCATTCTGCATGTCGAAGTATCCTTGAGCAAGATACCGAACCCCAAATTGCTCCCGATGATGCTGCCATCGGTGTGCAAGTGTGTTAAAAACTGAGTAGCAGGTGGCACCTTGTATGGTAGCCTCGGCCACCAGTGTATAAATGTGTGTGTGAATGGGTACCATTTACCATTCTAACCATTATTATTACTTTTAATATAATTATTAAATACATTTGCCCGTTCCATTTAGATGTGTTACAACAGTAAATCTGACTGCAACTTTGTTGCCCCCCCCCAAAAATTGCTCTTGTGAAATATTTGTTTATTGCCCCCCTCAACAATGAAATTGAATTTCCACCCTTGCCTTAAATATGCATAATGCTAAGCCTTGATCAAATGTGAAGTTGTGAAAACATTCATGCCCTGAACAGTTGTCATGAATGTTGAAATTAGTTAGAGACCAAAAGTGTTTTTTGTAAAATGCTGTCAACATTCTGCTGTTAAGTTGGGCATTTCAATATGGGAGTCTATTGGAGCCAGCCTCAAGTGGCAATTTGATGAACTGCAGTTGTCGGCACTTCTGCATTGGCTTCATTTTCAGCCTCTGAGGCTGCTGCGTGGGTTAAACAAGTGGACTTTTGTTTTATATTTTGGGCGTAGCTCAACTCTGAAGTTTGAAATAAACTGCTAATTTTGATTTCTGATAAATACTGTGTAGCTGGCCTTTCTTGGTTGTGGGAAGTGTAGGGAGTCACATGGTATGTTATGTCTAGGTTTCCCTAGACTAGGGACAATAACACAGAAGACAAAGGTTTTTGCGCTCACTGAATGTGGGGGTGTATGGGCCAACTATACAAAGCAAATCTTTTGTGGCCATCTCAGCAGTGTTGCAGCCAGACTTGTTGTTGCCTTGGAAACGGAGGCAAACTATGTACATCAGAAGTGAGAGGAGGGTCACCAGGATGCCGTGCTTCCCTTTACAAAGCATCTGCATCTGTACATCAGCTCCAGATGTAGATGTGACGCCAAAGCTGAGCCAGCTATCTGGCATGGCGATAAAGCCGTCCACAAAGGAAACCAAATATGAGTCACTGATGACAAGAACAATGAGAAGTGTGTTTCATGTTTCAGGTGTTCATTATTCCATGTGTTCAACTTCATGCGCAGCTTTGGTAGACATTCCTGCAGTCTGCATGCCAATGGCACGCTCCCTCGAAGCTTGCGACATCTGTGGCATTGTGTCATGTGATCAAACTGCACACTTTAGAGTGCCCATTTTTTGGGCCTTTCCCAAACCGGACTCTACCCACTCCCGCTCCTTTTGTAGTCACCTTCACAGCTGAATGAAGCATCCTTCATTAAGGTGGAAGGTATAAATACAGCAACAAGCTAGACTCTAGAGACGACAGAAGGGTATATTTTATCCTAAATACATTGTAACCTTTGACATGTTAACATCCCTATGACAATATTAAATGTCTATTTTAGCTTGAGCAGTTTACATTTGTCAAGTTAGTCGCATAGAATTTTAATTGTACTGAGCACCTTCCATGACAAACACACACAGTAAGTCGACATCGATGCAGGCTTACTATGGAAGGTTTTATAACCCACTTACACCCTGCCAGTTGGCTTTGGATAGCACTTAATGTGACAGATGCTCCGGATGGGTAGGGTGAGGGTGTAGTGGGTGGTTTGTGAAAGGCCCAATGTGACAGGCACACCTGTGTAAAAACCATGCTGTTTAGTCAGCATCTTGATACGCTACACCTGTCAGGTGGATGGATAATCTGGGTAAAGTGCTCACTTAGATGGAATTTAACAAATTTGTGACCAAAATTTGACAGAAATATATCTAATGAGTACAAAGAAAAACTCTTAGATCTTTCAATTAAATCCTTGAAAAATGGGAGCAAAAACCAAGGTGTTGCATTTACATTTTTGTTCAGCGCACATTCGTTGTGTAAAGATCAACTTACACGCTTATTCCAGAGTTTTCCAATGTACATTCCCAAAGGTCAAGAAGGTCAGGCTTAGCCTCCAGTATGGCCCTGATAAAGGAAACAGCCAAAACCTTTGGAGAATAAATCATGGTATATGCGGGAATTATGTTAAGAAGAAAAGATTTATGAGTTTTATGACTAAAATGCACATGTGCAGATACCAACATGATTTGAATTTTTATTGCACAAAGATTACAGTTCTTTATGTTTCCTTACAAACATTTTAAAGCTTTGTAAACAGTGAAGCAGCGTCTCCCCAGTGTGTTCGGTATCTCCTGCTAACACCACTTTGAGTCCCAGTTGTCACATTTCTTTAGTAAGTCTCAGCTATTAAGTGTGTGCACAAGAGCCAACCAGTGACAGACTATATGAAGCTGAAAGAAGCTCAGAGATATGGCTGTGTCTTAGCAGAAGGGCGGTTACGCGCTGTGAGTCAAACTGTTCAACATTCAATAACCTGCATCAGGCTGCTGGCTACATGAAGGAACTATAATTGAAAGCTGGTGACTTTCTGACTGTGATGATTATATTGTGTTGGGGTGCTCCGTGAAAACCGAGCAGTCCCTTTTGTCTGCGAACAAAATGTCTTGTTCAGTTTTACCACAAGTGACAAACACACCCAAACATTTACATCTTTAAAAATAGTTTGGCTTTGGATTTAAATGAGAAAAATACACTTCATTTTGCTCGTTCATTCACAATACACACAAAGAACTCGTGTTCTCCACAGTGAAGGTTGACAGTCTTGGGCCATGGACACTGAAAGTGTTCACTGCACGGTCATCTGTCTTTTCTTGTATATCTTTGTCCTCCATATGAGCAAGACAAGTACTGTACATATCTTATATCATGAGGAGAGGCAGCAGTGCAGCATTTCGTCCCTTGCTTCATTGGACAACACAGTGCTATTCCTTCTTAGGACTCTCCATGTGGCCCATTCCCCCTTAAGCAGAGCAGTGCAGAGGTTCAACCTAAGTCATGAGGTACACAAACATTCACTCCCCAACTTCACATACTTTCCAAGAGTATGCACACGCTACAAACAATTCTTATCAGACAGAAAATAGACAAAGAAATGGCACATTGCTTGTTGGTGTTCTCTATTGTGTGAATATAATAACTACAATTCTTGATTTTTTTTTGTTCTTTTTCTTAAGGTTGCTATCAGGCAGATGAAAGAGAAACCCCAAATGCAGGATGGCTCTTCTCCAAATGTTGAGCCAGTTTTTGGACACAGAGGGTTGAGTTGATGTGTGTGTGGGCGGTGCTTCTATGGAGTCTGTGCCATGCCACGACTAGACTTCATCTTCTCCAGTCTTTTAGAAAGGTGGCTGTTGTTTGATTCAAGTTCATCGATCTTGTCCAATGCTGATCGCAACTATTGAGTCAAAAAGGAAGAGAGAAAATACTGCAGTCAAAACAGAGCCTGTTAAAAGGGCTAACCTGTAAGAATTGCAGTGAATGAAAACAACACTACCTCTCTCTGTAGTTTCCGTTTCTCTGCCTTCAGCTCATCCTCCACTTTCTCTGAGTTCTCTGCTGCAGACTTGTAGCGTGTCACCTGGCCCTCAAGTCTGGTCACCTGGAAACCCAAAAAAGAAAAGCCTTCGTAGGTGAGAGTATTCATGTTTTTAGGCATGCTATGAATTCACACTTATTTTCTTCTTACATTTTGTTCCAAAGCGGTGACTTCTTGCTCTGCCTTCACAAGTTTAAACTTATAGTCACTTATTTGCCTGTTTGAATCTCCTGGAAAGATTAAGCACAAACAAATATTTTTGAGTTGTGGGAGACAATACAACAGCAGACTGCAACTACCGGTCTGTTTTCATGTGTATGTTTACTTACTCTGCAGTTCCAGTATGTTTGGATCATTGCCGTTTTCAAGAATTTCACCATCCGGGCTTGTACTGTTCTCAGTGCCATTCCTCTGTGTCTTCTCCTCCAGCTGGGCCTTTAGTTTTTTTACCTGTAAATGAAGCCATAACACATCAGCTGATGAATGACACACTCAGTCATCAGTATAGTCATCAGTGCTATTTACATAAACAACTATGGCAATAATGGTATCATAACAATGACATCTGCTAATAATGAGATAGAGATAGAAAAGCCTGCACACTTGTGATTTGTTCACAACTTAAGAGCCACACTATCAATCGATCAAACAAGTCATGAAATAAAAAGAACACTGCTTCATTACCAGGCCACTAGCAGTGCTCTGTAGAACCCATGCTCCTACCCTGTCAGTCTGCAGTGACAGAGGAGCATTAACAGCTGGGTTTAAATTTGAGGCATCATTTGCCATCAAAGGGAGAGAATGCGACATGCCAATAGCGTGTCAAAATGTGGGACTGTGTCATAAACAAATCAGCAATAACGAAGTAACATTGGCAAGATAGCTATAGCTACTGAGACATCAGCATACTACTAGATTTTTTGGGTTATACTTTTACAAAAAAAAAAAACAACAACAAAAAACAAAAAAAGGCATAGCCGTCAAGTCTCCCGTTTTGGCCGGGAAACTACCGTATTTTACCCCTCTTTCCCGCCATCCTCCCGTATTAGTATTTTCCCGTAAATCTCCTGTATTATAATATAATTGAAAAAAACAAACAAACAAAAAAAAAATCATTCCTTTGCCTCTCCAAACTGAACTTTGTCACTAGCCTCGCGAGAACTGCCACCTGCAGTAGCCTGGGTGGCAGTTTGACGCGAGGTTAGTGTTGACAGCAGGTCTGGTTGACCAGTGCCGTAGAATATAACAATTCAAGGGCTCTGTGGTCGACAAGTGGTTATTTTAGATTTCCTGTACACCTGCCTTAAAATGTAAGGGATACTGGAGCTTGGTTGGGGTGGTGGGACGGCTTGTGGCGGGCGCCGGAAAATTGACCTTATTTTCAAATCCAAAATTTGACAGGTATGAAAAAACTCATTGAAACAATAAACTACAATAACAGAATGGTGATTGTAGTTTTAAAATATTTATTAAAGAAAGACATTCGTGAGTTTCTTTTGTTGCTTGTGCAGCCATATTGCCATTGATTTCTTGCAACACTTGGTTTGGAGTGTGCCTCTGAAAAACCTCTGATTGGAGAGCCATGTAGTTCTAACACACAGTCCTATCTCTTTATACCACCAAGACACCCTACTCCTAGGTCAGGGGTATGCAACCTGTGGCTCCGGAGCCATAGGTGGCTCTTAAGCCCCTCTCAAGTGACTCCCCGGTTACACATACATATACATATATATATATATATACAGTTGCAATCAAAATTATTCAACCCCCATTGCATATTAGGCTTATTGGCAAAATGTACAATTTTTCAGCTGTTTGCAATAAACAAAATAGACAAGAACAGTTGAAATAGTTTAATAAAACTAACATTACCATGGTTTTTATCCAAATTCAACACAAAATGCTACTTTTAATCACTACTGCAGTCTCAAAATTATTCAACCCCCTGTTTCAAGCACACCTGATGCAACTAATCA